TCAGCACAGGGTTGAGGCAGAAAGGAGCTGAGCTCTTGCAGAACGGAGATGACAACACAGCGGGGCAAGATAAACTAATGGGGTCTCTAGAGGCTGAGCTCAAGGCTCTGGTCTCTCTGGAGGAGATGAAGGGGAGTTTAGTGAGGGGGAATGTTAAAGAAGTGGAGGCAGTGTGTCAGAGTCTAGTTGAGAAAGAAGTAGCCAGGCTGATGTTGGCCTCAGAGATGGATAAAGAGGCTCTGCTTTACCTCAACTCCATCTTCAGCCTGTTTCCCTCCCAAGCGTGGAGAGCAGCGCAGGCCGCCCTGCAGCTACACTACAACGGGGAGGGGTCTCTGTCCAGCAGGGCTTCCCCAGACGTGTGGAAAACTGTCCTCAGTCCTGCCACAACGTCCAGCCCCCCATCCTCCCTCCCATTCACAAACGGTGGGCTAAAACACAATCATAGTCTCAAAGGTGATCACGTTGCTAACTGTAAATCCCAAATCTCCACTTCCCCCGCCGACATGCCTGTGTTTGAGCTCCTCTGCTACTCAGTTTTTCATTTCCAACCCAGCTGGCTGCCCCGCTTCCTGGAGCTGGCCCAGCAGCAGCAGGGCTCAGCAGGACTCGGGTTGGGCCTGGCCTCTTCTTCCTCCTGGGGCTTCTCTGGTGGGAGAGCAGGGGAGGGCGGGGAGAACAACATGCCGCTCTACAAACGAGCGCTGGCCGCCTTGTCCAGCCTGATCCCGGACAGAGACAAGCGGCAAGACCTGGAGGTGGAGCTGCTGCTGGTCAGTGGGCGGCCCAACGCCATCCTGCAGGCACTGAGGACCCTCATGGCCAAGCAGCAGTGGGAGCGGGTCACCATGGTGGCCCAGAAGTTCTGCAAACGGAGTCCGCTGCTCAACAAGGAGATCTTCACTACTCTGCTGTGCGAGGTGGCTCAGCACAGAGACCTGGACCCCTACCTGGACGTGCTGTGGGTGCTGTGCCCTGAAGACCTCACCGTCACCACCATTCTCAACTTAGTGCTGAAGCACCTCCCATCCCCAAACACCCCACCATCCTCCTCCTCTTCCTCCTCATTCTCCATGTCCAGTAAGACCTCCTCGTCCCCTCCTCCCTTCGCAGACTCCCACAGCAGCCAGTTGACCATCGGGCTGTTGAAACCTCTGCTGAAGAAAGTGCTTCAGAGGGAGACCAAGCCTAGCCAGCGCTACGCAGACATCCTACAGTCACCTACGTTCCCCCCTCCTGCCCCCCCACGCCAGCCCAGGACTGTCTCAGATCCTAACACAGACTCATCTCTCGCAAACGACACCACCCCGGATTATCTCGCAGAGACACCCGGACAGCAGTCACCCCCACACACAGCTGTCCAGAGAGCAAGGGTGGTACTTCCTGCTAACCCAGTCTGAATCACAAAGACATGAACAGACTAAAACATTTCACACACAACCTGACCAAACTGTGAAGCAGCGTGTGTCGACAATCAGAATCAGTATGTAATAGATATATATCATGAGTGTAATGCAGTTAATTGTGATATTTGATGGGGGGTTTTTTTTTTAAAAGTATTGATATGAAGTATGACTACTAGAAACTATGAAATGACTACTGAAGATCTTACCGGTGTAAATACTTCAGGTAATTTTAAGTCTTAATGTGTGTATATACTGTATCCACAATGTTATTTATCTCTCAAGCCTTAACTGCACGTGGATGAGAATGTGTTTGCTTGCATCAAATAAGCTTAGCCTTTATCAAAATGCCTTGGTAATATATTGTATTAACAGTGTAGTGTGTATCTGCTCAGTAAAACAAAGCCACTAACTCTCATTATTGGGGTTTATCAAATGTACAAATGTATCAATGTATTCTTTGGCTTTTAATGTGAGCTGATGTCTGCTAATTGTAGCCAAATGTAGCTGCCTTTCAGTAGTTGATCATGCAGTGGGTAATCTACTGAGACAAGCTGGCCTTTGTGTTTGAAATGTTTGTTTTAAGTGGTATGGTTTAGAGGAGGAGGGGTAAGGGGTCCAAGGTTCCTTTACTGACTTGGTTTTGTACTTAACATATCATAAACATTAACCTAGTTTCGAAGGACTCAATGCAGACCATGTAACCAAAGTAAAACAAACCCAATTCCTGTCATCCATTTGTCCCTCGAGACTCCATCTTGTCCTCTTTTCTCCCTCCTAGCCCAACTCACAGGACATTCCAGACGTAATACCCAGTAAAAGTGACTCACAGTTTGACTTTAAATTCAATTCCGGAGGTAATTCTGTTAGGATTCCAGTGTGGGTTTGGTGCTCAGTGACTAGGCGCCCTGCTGCTTGCATAAGGTCATGTACGTCTTCCTTTATGGACCCGGTGAGGGTCTAATGTCATTAGAGATGTTATGTCCTCTCTTGGTCCTGTTAGTATTCATGCTCTGAAACCAATTGCACTTTTGTATCATCCCAGTCAGTATTGTGTGTACCATGCCTCTGTTTAAATGAATGTTTTCTGATTGAGTGTGTTGTAAACAAAAGTATATTTAAGTGCCTACTGATGCTAATGTGTGAGCAGTATATAAAGCTTGTTTTAGATAGGAATATTTTGTATGTTGAGCCTTCTGAAACAAAAGGTTTTATTTTGAAACAATCTTTGGAAGACTACTCAAATATCAACCCTGGGTGGGTGAGTTACTGACAGAGAAGCTCTAAAAGTGACATTGAGTGACAATCAGACTCCAAAATGCTGCAGAACAATCAGAGAGCTTTTCACAGTGCTGCTCTTCATTTACAGAGCCGTGTCACATTCCTGCTGGGTCTCCTCAGCTTCTCTCACTCTCTGGAGAAAGAAGTGGTGGCAGAAGCATTGGGTTGTGTTTTTTAAATGACATTTTAATTTCTAATATATGCTGACTAAGATATAATCGTGTCCTTCTAAGCTCTGTACACTTTAAACAATGTTCAGTTCAGTGCCACGAGTGTACTTTCACTGGGAACTCCCCGACTTCCCCCTACGCAGCCTGATTGAATCACTGCTCAGGTGTTTAATATTAATTTGCCTTAAACTTTGCTGTTAACAAATAAGAATTCCTTTTGGGCTCGACATCTGTTCACATCTACATTTTTACTTTGTCTACTTTTGGTGGTGCTCTCTAAGCAAATTGGAAAATATGTATACAAGTATTTATGAACCGATGTATGCTATTAAACTGAAGATACAACTTCTGTCCCGAGTTTGACATATTAACTCACTTGTTGAAAGCTTGACGTATAGATTGTGATTTGTTGGTTTGTATTGCATTACACTGTGTTCCTCCATGGGACTATACACACAGTCAAATTAACAAGACATGTTTCTGCTAGTTGTTATGGTACTATCAAACGTGTGTATCAAACTGCCATGTTCCTGTTTCCACAGATTGCTGTAGTTCTCGTTTGTTCAGCGCTTTGAATACTTTCCATTCATGCTGTACTGCACAACAATAGGTCCAGCTGAGAGATCACATACTCTTCAATGTCAAAAAATGAACACGTCGAGGTCTGTTTACTCTTTTGACATGTTTCGCTCTGGTGAACAGAAATGAACCTTTATCTGTGTCTTAATCCTTGCTGGGTGCTTGAATATTAGGAATGTGGGCCGAGACAGACCTTGAATTAGATTTTTCATAAGGTATGGGAACCCTGATTTAAGGTTGTTTTATTCAGTCCTTTACAGCCAATGCAGTCTGACTTAAAAAACAGTCTGATGTAAAAGCTTGGCTATGTCTTGGACACACAATTATTCATTCACATGATCCACTGCCGCCATTTCTAAGTTTCACCATATCCCTTCCATGGACAAATCCACGTGTGTGTGTGTGTGTGTGTGTGTGTGTGTGTGTGTGTGTGTGTGTGTGTGTGTGTGTGTGTGTGTGTGTGTGTGTGTGTGTGTGTGTGTGTGTGTGTGTGTGTGTGTGTGTGTGTGTGTGTGTGTGTGTGTGTGTGTGTGTGTGTGTGTGTGTGTGTGTGTGTGTGAGTGTGTGAGAGAGATGTAGTTGAAGGATTTCAGTGTGTAAATGCTCTCAAATGTGTGGTGGCCCGGGGCCTTTAAGAGGAATGTTGTTACTCATTAAGCTTCTCTTAAAAAAAAAAAAACCTGAAAACAAGAAAGGTGGGACACCGAGTTGCTGGTTCTCAGCAAACAGGCAGGGTCCACACAGGGATGTGAGGATATATGATCACAGCAGTGGAATATGTTTAGAGGCGGAACGTGGAGGGTTGTTATTCCTGTATCTTTAGAGTAAGAGTGCAATAAGAGCCTGAGTCCTAAAGGGCAACAAAAAGTCAGATGGCTGCAGAATAACCTGATACCTTGCAGCCCTCAACCAATCTATATATTCTCCCCCTTTCTTTCTCTTTCACTTTGTGTCACACATTTCTTTCTTCAAATTGAGTTTCTCTTCTTCCAGCCTCTCCTTTTACAAGATGTTGAGTCATAAGGGAGCTGTATGCCATCGATTCACTTGTTCTAATTATAGATGGCATCCTGGAAACAAATGAATCCAAACAGGCTGGCCCCACCTGTCCCTCTGTCCTCTGCTCGACTCTGAACAGCCGACTATATGTAGATACAGGGCTGCATCAGTGGATAGATTACTGCATTAAAGGATACTTTCATAATACATATTATAGTGTGGGGCCTATAATGATATATCACACAGGTGCTTTAAAACGGTCTGTGCTTAAAAAAGTCTGTTACGACATTTCTGTTGTAAATTGAACATAATCTAATCAAAACAGGTAAGTAAGATTCACATAATAATCTACCACAAGCATCATAAAATGCTATTTGTAGAGACTATTTGGTACTTTGATAACTTTTCCTACAAACTACTGCAGTGTGATGAATGTTCATGCACAAAGAGGTATGCTGGGTGATAAATGTGAACTGTGAAAGCACTTTCATGACTTGTGTGACTGATCTCTGAGATTCCACTCACGTTACGGCTAAAATGTAGAAAAATGCACAGCAGACTCGGTGAATTTGTTGATCATGGGAGATTTTTACTTACAATAGTTTTCACAGGAGCTGCAGAAATTTTCACAACCTTTGAAATCACATTGAGCAAACAGACCATGTAAAGTGCTGTGTAACAGAGAGACAAACACACAATCTAGTAATGAGTCCAAAGTTAACACACAAACAATCATCTTTCTGGAAATATAAATCAGCCAAAATCATGAGATAAAAAAAATATTCACAAGCAAAATCAGAACCTTAACTGCATTGAGTTTAGCATACAGCAGTGACACCAGTCACACAGAAAGAGTGTATTCATTTTATGATTCAAATAAAAAAGTGCTTTGATTTCCATTATTAGTGCAAAAGTCATTAAGAATATAACAAAAAAAGGGTTTCACCTTTGGACTTAAGTTCTCGAACCATGGCGGGAAACAGACAGAGGCTGGCACGTTATAAAAAGCCTGTTGGCACGGTAACCCACTGCTGAGCACCCCCATTGTACCTTAATGTTTCAGCAAAAATCAGCTTTGTCGTTTGAAATATGAAGCAAATATTCCCAGAATCCAGCAGCAGCTGAGTTAAAATATTAAATAGTCACAAAACATTTACGTAATAAAACAAGTCTCTTTGAAATGTATATTTAAATATGAAAAAGTCCCTGCAGATTCCCTTATGCCCTGAGGTTATTTAAAAGTCGCTTTTTGTAAAGTCTGTCATGTATTGTATAACCACTGCAGCCACTTTGCTTATCCACCCATACAGTAAAACTGGAATGAAAATACCTAGCAGAGTTGACAAATATAGATCCACACACCAAATAGCTCCATTAGATGGACTCTATCGTGTAGTGTACCGTTTAACGTTTTGAGCCCCAGGCTCTCCCTCTGACTTCTGATCTGTTTCAACTTTGCTGTCTTGATTGGATTGTTTTTAAAAACGTGTAAAAAGGTAAATTCACATTTATTTTCAGTCTTTTCATCGAAGTGACAATGTGCCACATCTGTGCAGGAGTGCCCCATGTGTCTTCAGTTTGCGATGACGCAGTTCTGTCTGCAGTCCATATGCCGTCCTCTCAGGTGATTTTCATCTGGGCCCGGGGGATATGGTTCATGATTATGTGGTCGCTGGAAATAGAGAAATTGAGAGCACTCAAAGGCAGGATAGCACGGTCAAATTAATGTGGTTTTTGCACAACAGGTGATTATGTGTGTTTAAACAGAGCTGGCAGATACTTCTTTTGTTAATGGTACTTACTCAAAGGCATCAGAGTACTTCATCCTCCTGTAGTACTTGGCTAGTTTCATAGAAAAGATGATGCCTGGGATGAAGAAGATCATGCACCAGCCCAAACTGAACCAGAACGCATTCTAAGGAAGAAGAGAGAAATCATTCAATAAAAATCAATCGATAAGTGATGAGGATTGATGTGGAGCTAACATGTGATCCTCACCAGAGAATCCACAAGGTGAGAGCAGAGGATATTATCCACAGAGTCCACAGCTCCTGCCACCGGCCCACAGCGGCCCACCTGCTGTGTGATCTGAGGGGGATTACACAGATCAGTGACAAACAAACAAACATCACACACTTAACTTGCTTTGAGTGCATTTACAGTTATAGTGTAAAGATATGTAACAGTTTACCGTGAGATTGGCCCAGTCAGCATAAACAATTAAGTAACCCAGCTGACAGTCGAGAAACTTTCTGCTCTCCTGGAACGGTGAGAGAAAAAGAGAGTAAATTCCTCACATTTTCTCCCTGCTTTACAGTGGGGGGTCATGAGGAATCAGTGGAACGCCTGGCCTCCTCAGCATGTGGAATTATGGGTAAATTCTCTGAAGTGACCCGTAAATAACTTCAATGGCAGTGTGAGCAGTGAAGGCATGGCAATTATTTAACCATTATTTATGGAGCACATTTAATGCACAGAGGGAATTCAAACTGCTTTAAAGTATGCATTTAAATATTAAAAGATAAGTCTGGTGGTATTATATATTTTTGTTACTGACAAGAAATCCCATGAAAAGATCAAAACAACAAATGTGTCACACTCGTGCAGTGTAGAAAATGCGTCACATGACATGGAAGCTATTCAAATAAATCAAGACGTTTTAGGAGATAACTTGATTTTAAGTACAGTATTAATATAAAGTAAAATAAGTCCTGCAATCCAATAAAATAGGTGTGTCTTACTTGTCCAGTATAGTAATAATAACTATATCTGGTTTGTATTAGGAGGAAACTGGTCACATGATATGGAAGCTATAAATTAGACATTTTTATGAGAGACTTTGATCAAATAAATGCTGAATTTTCATATCAATATTCATATAAAAAGTAATAAATACAATAACAAGAGGTGTCCAGTGTAGTAATACAATGATGCACTGATTTGGAGTCACTGACGTGGAAGATAGGGAAAATAAAATGAAATGTTCTACACACATATTTCTGTGACATCCATCTATGAAACATCCGTAAACGAAAGAGTTGTGCCACATATGGCAATTGTTTCAGATATTTTAGTATCATTTCCCATTAAATGAACAAGTTAGCTCGAAAAGATAACCAGTTTTTAGTTGCTAAAAAGCTTGCATAAGTACAATTGAAGACTCAAACAATTGTTAAGTAATTTGTTTCATGTGCTCTGGATGTGGAGCGAACAAGCACATTGTTTCAGTTACCAGCAGCCCACACCCCCCTCGCCCCCCCTCTGGCTTAATGACTGACCCACCTCAGGCATTAACAGACCACATGCAGCACTTTTTCTTCGAAACTCATGTGACTCGTGCCTCTACTCACGGTCCTGACGATCTGTGTTGTATTTGTGTTGAGGAAGTCTTGTGCTGTTCCCACGTTGCTCAGCACCTCCCCGACTGTTCCCTGGAAGAGCCAAGGAGGAGAAAATGAGCCACAGGAAGAAAGAGAGGAAAATAGCTTTGGTCTATGCACTCCCAGGTGTTATTCAGTCTACTTACATTGATTTGATCTGCGATGGATTTAAAGCTCTTGATGGTCGAGTTCAAGTTTTCCTGAGGGCGAAAGCAGTAGATGTTTAAACTAGGAAAGAAAAACAGAATACAGGGATGTGGAGATGGGGCAGGATACTCACCAGTTGTGGGATGATGATTGTTTCTATGTCTGCCTGGATCTGCCTCAGGTCCCTGGCCTCATTTATAAGCTCTTTTTTTATTCCATTGTTTGACTAGAAACATGCAAATAGTTGGATATTAGAACACAACTGGCAGGACAAAAACTGGATTCAATAAGGAATCATGTGATGTGTTGCACAGAAAAGCATTGATTTAATATACATGTGACTCACTTGAGCAGCAGCGAACACGTCCATGTTATCTGCTGTGGTATTCAGATTGATGCTGGAAACTTTGTTCATCTATGAGAGAGACAAGCGATGAGGTCATAACTACATGTTACACAAGGATGCATTTAATGACAGTAGGTTTACAAAAAGACACATGAGTAATGGTTACCTTCTCCGTGACAGCAGTGGAGTCAAGATTTGAAGCCTTGTTGGAGAAGCTGCTGAGTTGTTTCTGTAACTCGGGGCTCAGGAGAGTGACACTGGGCAGAGTGATGACTGTACTCTCAAACTCCTGCTGGATCTGCTCTGTGTACTGAGTGCAAATGACAAACACATTTTAACTTATGTCTGATAAAGTTGATGTAAGTTTGAGCATTTTGATTTGTGAACAGTTTGAAAGTAATGACAGGAAACTTACTTTGGATACATTGAGTAAGTCATCAAGGTTTATGAGCTCATACAAGTGGAGTGTTGTCCACAGAGGCTGGTTTTGCTTACAGTCTCTGTAAACAGTGAGTCCAAATTATTTGTACAGCATTTAATCACAGTTACAACTGAAGGGCTTTATGAACCCTGGTAACTTAAGAACCACAGGTACAGATAACTAAATAAACAAACATAAAAACGATCTGTGTATTTCATCTCACAAAAGCAATAAACTCGATGAGATAAGCCTGTCAGTCAAATTCAAAAAAGATTGCCTCACTATCATAAAAGTGATTTTCCTTGCCGAGAAAACTGTTTTCAGTTCGTAAAATATGGATATTTCCTGTCTTTCTCGGATTGATATAATATTTTACAGAAAATATCTAGCTTTTGACCAAAAAACAAGACATTTAAAGACATCACCTTGGACTTTGATTTAAAGTGATTTACCCTTTTTTCTGACATTTTATAGACCAATGGATTCATCCAAAAATAATAAATAATAGATTCAGATGTACAGGTGTATTTCTTTCTGTGTGAGAGGTGAATTGACAGCACATACCTATAGATATCAGGGATAGTGATGTTGGTTTTCAATCCCAAAGATTGCCTTAAATCGAACCCTGGAGTAATAGCCAAAAGCTGTGGAGAGAGAAGGCAATGTATTAACTCACAGATGTCTAACAGAGGACTGTAGTTTGTGTTTGTGATGCGTACAGATACCGGTGTGTGTTTTTTTTTATCACTACTTCTAGCAGCTGTCCGTTGTTCCAGGGCCGACAGATGAGGGTGTAGAGGTTCCCGCCCAGCAGGAACAGCAGCGTCACCACTATCATGAACAGCCAGGAGAAGAGGAAGCTGAAACCTGCACCCCTGAAACCAACACAGGACGAAAGGAGGGGAATCAGTTTTACTGTTCCTCTCTTCATACGGGCATATGAGACTCAAAATTAAACTGACAGCAGCACTCACATCATGAGGAAGGTGCCTCCGCAATCCGCGGTGCAGGAGCGCTCAGTGGGGTCGTCTTTGGGTGACAAACCCAGGGGGCCCAGCACCAGACCCAGCAGGTAACACACCACCACCAGGAGGACAGCACAGCACAGGGCCACAGACACTGCCCATCTGGAGAATAACAATAATAATAATAATAATAATGCTTTATTTATATGGCACTTTTCATACAACACATGCAGCTCAAAGTGCTTTACAAAATTACACATCACAAGTGAAAAATAAACAACAAGAAATTCCCCTCAGATTATTTGTTTAGAACTTTACAGATACATGCAGCAAAATATAACATTTTAACAGGTTAAGAGACACAAGGAGGTAAAAGATATGATAATAGAAATAATAAAAATAATAATGAGTACTCTACATCAGATAAGACACAAGACAAATGGGGCGAAGCCTGCGAGCTAGTTCAGACAGACAACTCGAGCACTTATGCTGCATTCATACATAACGTCCCCTTGCCACTCTACAACCAACCAAACAGTCTCCTTAATATGCCGCTCTATTTAACCTGCCCGATCTCTCTCCATGCATTGCTTTGCTTGCTGCTGCTATTGCTGCAGCTACGTCGCTGCTGCTTGCCTGCTGCGTACACTTGCTATTGCTGCCTTCATTTGCTATTGCTGCGTTCATGTTCCTGCTGCTGTGTTTCATGTTGCTGCTGCTTGCCTGCCGGTGCTGTCCTTGCAAATGTCTATTGCAATCTCCGACTCTGGAACCGAATTATCATACGCAAGAAGCCGTAAGAAATGCCTCATTCCCGAAACACAGGCTAGCTCAGAGCATGGTTCAGACGCCGCTGGAACGAGCCACAGCTCCCGCACGACACACATTCAGCCTAAATGTGAATGTGAAGGGAAAATGTAAAGGGACACCTGAATTATTCAGTCGTCCCTTCTGTCCTCATCTGGAGTAACTTTTAATATCCTTTGGGCCAGAGGAAGTCCTGAGTTCTACGCCAGCTCCGGTAACAACCCCTCTATTGTGTGTCAGCTAAGAGTCGCACTGTCTCTCGATCGGTGGGTATTTAAACACCAAAAAAGGCAGGAGCAAGCTGACTCCGGCATTCCCAAAGTACCTGCCATCCTGTCCTACCTTCTCGAAGTAAAATCAGCGCTTGAAGCCTTTAATTGCACGATATATTCCCGTGAACAAACTCGATTTCCTCTCCCTGCAATGTAAACAAATGTTTCTACTTCCGCGTTCAACCACGTTGTACCGCTGACGTCACACTCCCGAGGATTCTGGGAATTGGAGTCCCAGATCCAGCCACGAGTTCTAGCTTCCTGCCCCCTGCAGCAGCAGTTCCTTAGGAATCGCATCTTGGCAGGTATATATAATACTATTCTGCATAAGCAATGTTTTATTATGGAAATATTTGGCCTGCAGTAAGTCATATGTGAGGCAATTATACAGAAGTTGTATAGGCTATAAGTATTTATACTAGGCCTACTATAAATCAATGAAATTAAAAACGGAAATAAATTAATAATTTCCATCACATGAATATGAAGGGAAGCTCGATACATTTTTGACCATCATTTTAGACTTCAATCTCCTACAGTGTATTTTCTATGAATACCATGAATTATTCTCTGCCAAGCGGCCATGTACGTTTAATCACCTACCAAAGAAGAGTTTTTCCTTACAGGAATTAAGCTCTACCTGCAATATCTGCCCCTCGCTGGGTGTGCCTTAGGAGGCTTCATGCTGCAAATCGTTTCCAAGCTCTTTCTAATCACAGATGTTCGTCAAATGACCTTATCACAGGCTTAAATCAAGGTTTCTTAGCAGGTTATGCTGGCTCCCAGGGACCCATGTCTGTTGAAACCTGCACTCAAGACTAAAGTTTGCACTGAAGGAGCCAGGAGTATTACACGTGCTGCCATTTAAACGTTTAAAAACACGACAGGCCCCTAGCCTAGTGCTAGGAGGAATTATTCTAGCAACGTTTCTTTATTGAGCCGTTAGTTCCTCACGATTATTCTGTTAAGAGCATTATTAACTACTATAGATTTTTCCCGTTTCTTTGCTCTGTAGATGACATGGCAGGGAAAGCAGACATGCCTTCTGTGGCATATATATTTTAAGGTTTTACAATCAAATGTGCATTTGCTTTTCATAGTAGCCCACGTTTCTTTGACACCTCATCAGAAGCATTATGCTGGATTCTCTGCAACACCTGTAAGCACCTCTTGGTGTCCATCTTTTAACCATTTCCTAGTTGTTAACTTTCCCAGATAAAACTTTCAACAGCTAGGCCTACCTCTTTCAGAACAGGAACTGGAACACTATCGGTATCATTCTCGATAGTGTGCTGATGCAAGCTTTACTTCCACCAGACAAGCTGTCCCGCATCAGAACAGCCATAATTACAATTCATGTTATTTATTTAGCACCTTTCCAAATGTTCAAAGTGCTCTACGTTATACTACATATTAGACTTGTAATACATTCAATACTGATTACTGCCTTCAATTATGGTCTCCCACGGGTAGTCTCTCTAAAAGAGATGTTTTATATTTATAAGGAACAAGCTCTAGCCTTTTTGTTCAAACCTTAAGGCACCATAGTCTTAGGTCACGTTCACACCTGCTTGGTTAGTACTATTGAATCGGTCCCTGTAGCGTTAACCCCTTGATGCGGTTCGTTGGATTGGTGTGGAAGCAGTCCGATACCTCTGCTCCGCCTAAAAGAGGTGGTCTCGGGTCGATCGCTAGTCAACTCTGGAGAGGTTCATTGCTGGTGTGACGTAGTCCGCATCAAAACATGGGAAACAACTATTTGCGCGTCATCGCTTGTTTTGCTATCTATGCTGTGTGCAACATCCAGTAACCTATAGGGTCATGCATTCATTCTGGTGACTGCTTACCTCACTGGTCCCTGTGTACCAGCGACGTGCAGTCAGGGGAGGGCAGGGGAGGCAGAGCCTCACCTGTCATACTCATAGACTGGCCATACTACAATGTAACGGAAAAAACAACTAAAGAAAAACTAAATAGTAATAATAATAAAATGTCTCCACTGATCTGTGTTTGTAAATGTGATTTATGTATGATTCCAATCGCTTTTTATAGTCAAAATCAGCTAATTTGCCGAGCTCCGCTACAACTACGGGTAGCGATGAGAAGTGAGGCAGGGACGAGCTCTGCCTCACGTAAGCCCACAGTAACTTGCTGGAGCGCGGGCACTAATTTAGCGCGGGCACTTATTTTGTGAGCGCGCTCAAGCCAGTTACTGTGTGGTAAGGTGAGGCACAGATGAGCTCTGCCTCACCTCAAAATGCGTCACCTCACAGAAACTGGCTGGAAAGCGGGCACTAAGCGCATGCCTGTTACCATCTCACTGTAGGTCACCAATGTAATGTTTGTAGATCCCTTATTACATTTAATCCTCGCCATCCATAGTCTCTAAATAACTTATTTCACGTATATGATATTTAGGCTCGCCGTACAACGGCAATGAAAAAGCACCGGGGGAGGCAGCCATAACCTCTGCCGCACTGAAGGGGCGCACGTGAGCCCACAGGTCCTTGTTGCTACTGTTATTCTACGCAGTGACGGTAGACCAGACGCAAACAACAAACTAGACTTTTGAAACTAGAGGAAGATAAGGAGGACTTTTACAAAAAAGTAATAGAGATTGTTGTCCTTGTCCAGAAGGATAGCATGGACTTCATCTTCAAGTCAAGGTAAGACCACATTGGTAATGACAATTGGTTCTTACTAAGAAAGAACAATCCAATATTTAGATTGTGGGTATCCTTTTGTTGAACGGTCTGTTTAAAATGAATCGAAACATCAGACCAAAAAAGCTTTTGAAAATAACAGAATATTTCGATTAAGGTCAGAATATAATATTTGTAAATCTGACTCTGAAAGAGTCAGTGCCTCACCAGCCATGAACCTCACCGCACGTCACTGCTGTGTACAGAGAAAGGCAGTGGTACAATCTCATCAGAGCCACCTGTCATCGGTGAAACCTCCTCACTGCATAACGTCTCATTATGTGTTTTAATGCACGTTGTCCGATTTATAATCCTATGCGCCGGCCGCAGAGTCTGTTGATGCACTCTCCAGATTAACAGCAGTATGAAAATAACCTGCCAATGCTCCATGATGCAGGCTACTGTAGAAATTGCTGAGATCTGCATTTTATCCGCTTAATGTCCCGCCAATTGTTGAAAAAGCATCTCCGTACAATGACTTTAGTTTACAGTTCATAGTCTATTTGAGGTTGCTGGGTGAACGCAAACCCAACCTTCTGCAAATGAAACTATGTAATACACTTGCGTCTGGTGTAAAGACGCGGACTATTCGACATGAATGCAATCTTATGCCCCTTTCACACCAGTGCTTTTTCAGCTCCGGCTCGGAGCTGGAGCCTGAAAAGCGCCGGTTTTTCCTGTTCACACCGCGCTGCGCCGGCTCTTAGCTCCGGAATCCGGTTCACTTCCAGCTCCAAAAAATTGTCGGTCTAGAGGCAAGAGCTTCGGAGCTAAGAGGTGGCGTCGCTTACGTCTCTCTTACGTCGAGGCGTGCAGGAAACTAAACCCACCTCCCCTGAACATGGGTCGACTGTCATGCCTGCCTACAAGCAGTAGTGCTTATAAACACACTTTATAAAGTCAGGCAACACTAACCGTGTTGATCCGTGGCTTCGTGTGATTCTGTTTATTTGTACCTTACTTTGACCATCCGTTCACTGTTATTGATCATTGTGGAGAGAGGCAGACGTGTTGTTTTGTATTATAGCAGCTATCGGATGGAATCAATACATGGGCTGCACAGGTTGTCGTGTCCGACTATCACAAGTAGAATCATAATAAAAATACGCCGGTAAAATGTGCCTGTAGAAAACGGTTTATGCCACAATAGGATAGCAATAGCAAGTAGTCAGTTTAGCTTCGACTGCTATGCTAACATCACCAGAGAAACTTTCATAACAGCGTTGTGATGCCAAACAGCGTCAATTCAGACTGACACACATTCAGGGGAACTGGGGATATGTATCAGCTGCTTGTGTGAGTTGGACAGTGAATACTTTAGAGCGGCCGCTGCAGTGTGAGCTAACCGGGAGCTAACGGGAGAATAAACTCCCGTGGAAGAGCAGCCAACAACTGCAGCGGTCGGTAAATGCCGCAGAAACACATTAATAAACAATGAACCACGGCACTCTGGAGCAAAGTATAAGGTTGGAGAAGTCGTTATTTAATTTAATCTGGCTTCGTGTGATTAAAAGCAACACGATCATCGACCCGACGCAGTTGTTGTTGTTGTTGTGAGCGCCGTAACGCTGTTGGGGAGCAAATCAGCGATGTAAACGGTGACGTCATGACGCAGCAGCGGCAGCACCAGTCGGGCTCTGGGCGGTGTGAACAGAGCGGGAGCAGAAAAGGGAAACCGGAGCTGAACCAGAAAAGCTCCCGCTCGGAGCTAGAAAGGGAAAAGCGCTGGTGTGAAAGCCGCATTAGAGATGGTTATTGCTTAGATCTTTGGTCCTTAGCCCCTGACGAGTGGAAGGTTATGTTCATTCTTTTATAATGACCTTGCGGTGTCCTCTCTAGTTACTTACAGATGCTGCGCCTTCTGCTGGTTCGGGGGATTTCACAATGAGCGGTTTTGCCCGACCAGCTTGCCATGCCCTTCGTTCAACCAAATGACTCTGGATCTACACGTCAAGCCCTCAAGGATTTCCCATATTCTGCCTCCAACCAAGAGCATGATTCAAAGCATACAATTCAGCTTGGTATTTTATCTTCTTCTGTCCCAACCTCCTCTGTGTACTTATGCAATAGATATAATAGTTGTTCATGCATTAATTGTATTTTCATTCGAATCCTGCAATCTTCAAGTGCTAAGTATTAAGCCACGTTAGAGTTAATTAATTTGCTCCTCATGGGCCTTAAGAAGGCACGTCCTCCACGCAATGATAAAGACTGCCTCTTAACTTTGAACCCGTGCAAAGGTTAATGTATAAGTTCAGGCAAAGGGGTTTCACTATACATTGATAAACATCAGATGCAGTTGTTACAGCTTTCTATTGGTTTCTCAGGTGGTGAATATACACAGACCTCTCACCTTTTAATCCTCAGCATAATCTCTCCCTTACTGAATTAATTTTGGAGATCAAATATACACGCTTTTCTGTCAAGGAACCCCGAATAATCATTGCTAAAACTAATACTGTTTTCTTTGTCCTTTATCTTCCATGCTGAACTTCTCGCATCATTGCCCTCTGACACATGGGTCGGCACCCATGTTTTCGATGGCTGCAAACCCAACGATGAGGGTTCTCCTCCAAGCTGCGTGATCTCTGCCTAAGCTGCGACCTGCCCCCAGATTGCTATTCCCACTGTTTAAGAATCTGCACAGCCACAACCGCAGCTCTATATCCGCCTACCTCAACCCTGAGTATCCTGGGCCGTCGGTCATCTTCTGCCCACCAGCGCTATATCATGCCTCACATGAATGAGATCCTTGCAGCACAAACAACCATGAGCTCTTGCACTACTCGATGATGAGTAACGTTCAAAGATGTATATCTGTAGAATTCTGTTATTGCATACCAGGTGGTTGCTGGGTTAGATTCTATTTATTTCATTATAGTATATTCCCCTCATAGCTGCATGCTTGGGGGGGGGAAGCTCATTGTCGCTAGCTTAAAGACCTAGACACAGCAGTCTTGATAGGTAGTATATTCCCCTCAAAGCCGTGGTGCTGGGGGGGGGGGTCGGCACTGGTCACTTCCAGGCCTACACATAGCAGTCTCTCTAGGTAGTATATTCCCCTCAAAGCCGCGGTACTGGGGGGGGGTCGGCACTGGTCACTTCCAGGCCTACTCATAGCAGTCTCTCTAGGTAGTATATTCCCCTCAAAGCAGTGGTGCTTAAGGGGAATGGCTTTTCGGGCTGTTCCCGGGCCTTCACATAGCAGTCACTAGGTAGTATATTCCCCTCAAAGCCGCGGTGCTTAAGGGGGATGGCTTTTCGGGCTGTTCCCGGGCCTTCACATAGCAGTCACTATAGGTAGTATATTCCCCTTAAAGCCGCGGTGCTTAAGGGGGATGGCTGTTCCCGGGCCTTCACATAGCAGTCACTATAGGTAGTATATTCCCCTTAAAGCCGTGGTGCTTAAGGGGGACGGCTTTTCGGGCTGTTCCCGGGCCTTCACATAGCAGTCTCACTTAGTAGTATATTCCCCTTAAAGCCGCTGTGCTTAGGGGGAATGGCCACATGGCAGCTCGCCAGGCCCTCTACTTATCAGTCTTACATCACCAGCGTCAGGCTCGGGCTACGCAGTTTTGGGGGATAGTATCTAATCTCCACGCAGTTTTGGGGGTTAGTTATTTAATCATCACTCATCGTGCTATGTATATCTATGGAGTGATGATGCCCGAGCCTAGTCGCCAAACTCAACTATATGCTGCTTCTAATAAACATATTAAAGGAACTCGTGAGTTGTCTGACTGAAATGGGGCGAAGCCTGCGAGCTAGTTCAGGCAGTCAACTCGAGCACTTATGCTGCATTCATACATAACGCCCCCTTGCCACTCTACAACCAACCAAACAGAGTCTCCTTAATATGCCGCTCTATTTAACCTGCCAGATCTCTCTCCATGCATTGCTTGCTGCTGCTATTGCTGCAGCTACCTCTACGTCGCTGCTGCTTGCCTGCCCCACCACCACCCCAGCTTCCACCCCAGCTTCCACCTGTAGGCTCGGGTTAGTTATTTAATCATCGTGCTATGTATATCTATGGAGTGATGATGCCCGAGCCTAGTCGCCAAACTCAACTATATGCTGCTTCTAATAAACATGTTAAAGGAACACGTGAGTTGTCTGACTGAACTGAATCGATGCAACAATATAAAATATAAAACAAAGTGAACATATAGGTACAACAGAAAGAAAAAGATAATAGTTATAAAAATGCCATAATTCTAATAATGGTTAAACGATTCAAATATAATAAACACATTAGGATAGATGTTTGGGGCTTTTCTTGCATTTGATCACATGTGTTGGCAGGCCCCAGGCTTCTTACCTTATTTCCTCGGCTCTCTCGATCACTGGTGTGTACTTGAACATTTGGCTCTCCACCTGGTCCAGAGAACCCATCAGGTCCGTAAGAGAGGATAAAGGGATGTCATTGGTGACCTGTGAGATCTGTGTTTTTATGTTGCCCAACAACTGCTTGCTGCCTAAAACCACACACAAACACACACAAACACACGCATATATGTTTTTTTTTTAAAATGCTCTTATCTTACAGTTAATTCAAACTAATATTAAGAGAGAAGTAAAGGCCTGAAGTGTGTGATAGTATGTGCACACTCACTTTGAACTATACCCTTGGTCTCATTAGTCACCCGCTGGGGGATGCTGTCGAAATAATCCTCCATCTGAAAGGAAGTGCAGTTTATTTCATTATATCCAATAAAAAGCATATAGAGTTGAGAATGAATTGTGTCTTAGTTCTTTTTGAATGAAAAAGTAGCTTTGTTTTTGTCAGCCTATTTAACACTTAATAGCTTCACTTTAAAGTGTCCCTTAACAGTTATTAAATATTGCCATTTGAATTGATTGATGATTATTACCATATTTGTGTTTATTCAAAATGTCACTGACCTCCTTGATTTTGGATGGGAGATTAGTTTTATTGACTTCATCCATTGCAGACTCGAACTCACTCAAGCTGGGAATCTGTGGAGAAAACCAGAGAGAGAAACATGCAACCATAATCACGTAATAACATGTTATACTTTAAACTGACAGAGGGGGGCAGCAGACCTCAACAAAACAAGCATTACCAGGTTTTCATAGACGTTAATAAAGAGCAAGAGTAACACAATATAATGAGGATGGATTGTATCTATACTTGTGTCAATGTACTATTCTTGTCGTAAGGATGGAGATGACATATTTTACTGTAGATTCCATCAAAAAGAGCTCAAAAAAAGACGCGAGAGGAGAGTCTGTATGTGTCAGAATTGGTGGAGTGTAGGAGGAATAGAGAATAACAGATGGGAGGAGAAGAAATCAGCTGTTCTGACAAAGCCAAACATGAAGAGCTATTATGATGTGTCACCCTGTCTCAGCCTGCGTCAGAGCTTGTTTGACTGCATAAATGATTCTTCCTGTTTTCTCATGGTGGTGTATCGTCAAACACAGTAACAACACTGATTCTCAATCTACGGAAGTCAAACCTAACTCCTCTTTTGCTTAAAACACTTGATCTGAGGATTCTATTAAAGAAAAGAACACAGGAATATCCCTCGACAAACTAAGATACACAACATGAGTGCTTACAGTGATGGAGGTATCCAGGGTTAGTTTCTCTAGCTCAGGCTTCAGGTTGATACAGCCAACGCAGTTTGCATTGGATATAGTCTGAAGCATGCGATCTTTAATGGCAGTGAAGTTGTCCTGGAGGCGCTCCATGCTGGACTGCAGCTGGGTCAAAGATGAGTTCAGCTGGCTCAGTCCAAGACTGGTGTTAACAGTTTCTGCTCACACAAATGAAAAGCACACAGATGTTATCCAGGGTATGCACATGTTTGAAAAGTCATTGTTGCTACCTTGCTTTCACAAGTGCTTTAAAAAGGTTAAAATGAATGGAAGATTCAAGAACATTTTTGATTGTTTGGTGAGATATTATCCAGCTGTTAAATTAAAACAAAGTCAATAAATTATATATCAGCACTTGTTTCCACACATATCCATGAGTACAGCATATACAGCTAAAATACAATTACATTAGGCAGGAAGCCATCTTTGGTCTTCTTATCACTCTAAACAAGTGGAAATACATATGTATTGTATCAAAAATAGAAATTACATAGCCATGTTGAAAGTAAATTCACATTTTTGACATAAAATAAAAGGAAAATACCTAAGAGACATGATGTGAGATTACATTTGTTCAATCCTTGGCTTTAAGGAACCAATGGTTTTGCCACATTTTAGAGCATTCATTTGTTCTTTTGAAGATGTCCAACAATCTGTCAATATCGCTGTCACAGATTTGTTGAGGACAATATGCAACATATATAGCAGTAACACAAATAAAGCCGAAATAGATTGCCATTCCTAAAACCAGCATGTGCTTTCAATCCTGGGCCAAAACACAATGATTAAACACTTTTCTTGAATTCATTCGTTTGCAGCTATCTGTTGATAGGGAGCAAATGTCATGAGGTTTATTATTTGTATTTTAGGAAGCCTGAAATACTGTTGAAAATGTACTCTATGCAAACACTAACTCACACAAGGCTTTATCAAACGCTACAATGTCAGGGTAGGAGGTGAAATCCAAAAGGCAGTTAAAGATCTCCCTTCAAATATGCACACAAGCATTAACATGCTCAGTCTGAGACAGGGCAGAGCATGCAGGGAGAGTATACCTTGATCCAGCAGTCTAACAGAACTCAGCGCTGGGTCCAGTGTTCCTTTGAACTGCGCCTTGATCTCTTTTCCCAACTGAGGTCCAATGGCTAATTCATACAGACACACAGGTGCGAGATGGTTGGTTACACATTGATAACAGACACTGTATCACAGCTGTTACAGTGAACAACAAAGTGGTTCCTCTATTTTTACATTATTAGTTCCCTTCTTACCATCCAGGTTTCTGCTAACCTCCTCCACGGTTCTGTAGCTCTCATTCACCACCTTGTCGATTTGCTGGATATTGGTAGAGAGAAAACCAAGTATTTCAAAGTAAGATATGTGGTGAAATATAGCAAACAATGTAACTGACTGATTGCACAAGCCAATCACACATAGCAGCTTTGCTTCAAATGAAGAAGAGCAAACAAAACTAGCCTGAATTTCCCTCAAACCTTTTTTTCCTTTCTCTTGTATCTTGAGATAAGAGTATTGACACTGCAGAGTGCTGAGCTGGCCCTGAATCATAGGACTGACTGGGGAATTTGGAGGTCTGTTTGCATCTCACACAATAGCTGTCGGGTGCAGGACATAATGTGATCTCTGATAAATGCTGCCAGACCTTTGACTTTTGTATATTTCCATACCAAGCTGTTAAATCAACAAGAGGTTTTTCTCTTACCTGAGGCACAGACGTGAGGTAGGAATGGATGTTGTTTATAGATTTGTTGAGCTCCACTTGACTCTGCTCCACGCTCACTTTGATGTCTGTGTTACTCATGAACATGCAAACGTTCCCAGCACTGCAAATATGCACAGACAAACACACACACATTGTGTCATGAACATAATCCAAGGGAGACATACACAGGCAGTGAGGCATGCACATTCAAGCTGTCTTTATTTGTTGCTAATTTCCGAGAACACACAAACACTCACAGGATAATGGCTGTGGTGCCGAATGCAGTCCAGTAAATACTTCTCCTGTGACAGTTAGTGGAGGATGTCTGCTTCTGGTACATCTTCCCACCACAGTTTCCACAGCAGCGACAGCATGCCAACAAGAACCCAACTATGGGCATCAGAATGATGTATAGGACACCAATGGCTGTGCACACCAGGAAACCCACATCGTACACCAGGAACTAGACACACATACAGAACAAATTGCATTATTGTGTCACAAGAATGTCCTAGAACAGTGGTAGATTCTTGAGATAGGGTGAGACATCAAACACTGTGAGACATCACCAGGCAGGACAGTAGTTTTACTTTACTATGGTGACAGTCTACAATTAGAGTATATGAAAGAGTCTCAGTGTTTCAGTTGACTGGGAAAGATACACAAACATAAAGCTGCTTTAACATTAAACATTCTCCGATTACAAGCTCAAGTTGCTCCAAGGCGGGAGTTTTTTCTTCTTCTTCTTCCCACAGAAGTACACAACAACATCTTGGAATATGTCAAACTCATTCACATTCACTTACTTCTCTGAGGTTTCCTTGTTTTGACTCCAGCAGTTGGTCAGGATATTGTACTATGTTCATGATCAGATCTGAAACAAGTCAGAAAGAAAACAACTTTTTTTGTGCTGTTATAATAGCAAATAGCTATCTAACTGCGCTAGTTTCTGTCTTAGTTACTCATGTACAAAAGCCTGGCCATGGGGACAATGTGTCCTATGCTCCATACAAATATTTGTAATCTCTTGCATTGTAAAATGGAAATCTGACACCTCCATCTTGTGGTTTCTATGACACTAGGACCGTTTAGAGAAGAGGTTAGATTTGTATGAACAAACAAAGAATCACAAAACAAAGCGTTTGGTTTATGTCCCACTGAATCCAGTTATTCTGGATATTATATTCACAAAACTCAGACGTATCTGAGAAAACGTGTTGTTCACGCCAGCTATTTCTGAAGCTCTCACCCTCCGTCCGTGTCACAGCATTTTACAGTCTGGCATAAATGTCCTAGAAACTTGCATTTCACCTAATTGTTATGCATTTCTCCTCTTTTTTTATACCTGTTGTGTTCACTTTGAAATGAAAAAGGCAGCAGAGGGAAACATTTATAATTTCTTTGCCCACATTTAGGAGCTTGGGGGCTTATAGTGAAGCAGAAACCCAGAGTTTACACTAAGCCATCGTGCCATTTACCTTTTCACAGAGCGATGGCAGACACTGTGTTTAGTTTAAGCAGCTGTTGATACTTAGCGGTTCCCATGGACAGTTCTTAAGTGAGATAAAGTCTCTTCATGCCTCATTGCGAGGCTATTGGTTGAGATACACTCACACAATCTATTTCCAAAACAATGATACTCGGCAAAGGTTGTTAAACATGTTTTGTGTCCATTTGTTTTTTCTGTGAATATCAATACCAAGCAGGAAGTAATAGAGAAGGGGTTTATGGAGCAATTACGACATGTCATAGCCAGACGAAGGACTACAGGTGCGACACAAGTCTGAGTAAGGGGAAACACTGGCCTAAATAAACATCAGAGCGAGACACAAAAGTAAAAGATTGACCTGGCAAGGAACAGAAACTCCATAAAATGACTGATTAACCGATCCTGACATCTTTCTCTATAGGCAGTATTAGCTTTAGTGACATAGTTCAAACTGATTTGTCACCTCTGACTCTGAAGGGAAAGAGGACCGCGTGTGGAAAGATATCAATGTGACTTAAATAAAACCTTGTGTAAACTGAAGTTAGAGATTCAAGATGTTTGAGTGGTGAGTAATACCAATGACACTGACCTTTAGGAAAGGCGTTCGGTTGGACTGTTTGGAGGAAGGAATGGACAAAACCTGACAAAAAGCCCATGACGTCCTTCTCCGTGTCCTGGTACTGGGGCTGGGGGACGCTCTGGGGGGCCGCAGCAGCTGGACAGGCAGCGTGTGGGGGGACGGACTGGGCCAGGCTGAGCCCCAGCAGCAATACTCCTACTGCGGCCCTGAACGCACCACCACTGCCCTGCCACCTCCAAGAGCTCACACTCTCATGTAACCCCATGTCTACAGGTGGGACAGGTGTGAAAAGACTTGTCCAGACAGAAAAAGTAATCACCTCATGGCACAAGCTCTGTCTTGATGCGTCTGCAAATAGAACAAATGAACTGAATACAATGAAACACTCAAACAAGGCAGGAGAATTACAGATTGAGAAGAAACCCACAGACTGAGTCACACAGGAAGAGGTTGCAGCGAAGTTTGTAGCACCAGAAGAACTGTTAAAACTGTTCCTGCAGAAGAACAATGGCATTTAGTTAATGGGAAATATAAATGCTAAGCCTACAGTCTTTCACTTCTCAGGAAAACAGTGACCTTTAAGCTTCTATTTCATACTTCTATAATCTAGCAGATACTTTGGAGTGGGTCATCGAGTGACCGAAAAACAAATGACCGATGAAAAGTCTTGGCCCATGAAGGGTTATTAAATGCATGTATGACCGTGGTGCCAGCACTGTGTTCATAGTGTAATAACACAAAAACCGCATCCGCCTCAGGTACCTGCATCACCTCTGTTTACCTAAACATGGGCTTGACTCTCATATCAGCTGACAGTAATTGTGTTGTCAGGTGTTTAGATGTATTTTGTCTTCGCAAAACGACTGCTCAATGTTTGAATATCAATCAACACTTATCAACTGTATGATTGTTGTTCTCTTAAGCAAATAACTCCACAAGGGGAACATATAGAGTACACATCTTCTTACAGGTAAAGCAAGCTATGGAAAACAGAGAAAATTGTCTTCTTGTTGTTTAAAAGACTTAAAAGAAAGAATAAAAACCATGATATTTAACATGTACCTTCTGTACATATAGGAGCTTTGTAAACAAACTGTCAGAGCAATGCGTCCTGGTCTAGGCACTTGTCTAGATGAGAGTGTGGGAGAGGGTGAAAAGGTGTGTTCAGAGTGAAAAGAGGACAGATACAGAAGGAATAGAAAAGTACATGAAAACAAAATGTAGACGCAGGAGGAAAGTGAGCATTGTTGCTGTTTTCTCTTAGATGAACTCACCTTGCTTGGTCAGACCGTGAAGGACAGTCGTGCTGCTCTGATCTCCAGTAATTCACTGAGGGGAGTGCGTGGAAACCTGATATGCTCTGCTGTTGCTGTAAAGTTGAACCTCACTGTGTGTTTGCCTGGAGAACACTGGCACTGAGAGGAGAGGGAGGGAGAGAGGCGAAAGGGAGGGTCTTAAAAAGGAGACACAGGGAGGGAGGGAGTGACGTGGGAAAGGAGAGAGTTGTGGGAACAAAATAATTGAAAGATACTCACAAACAAATGGTATTTCTGTGTCAGGGGGAAATACAGAGTTGTGTTTGTAACCATTTTGCGAGGATATTATTGTCTTTGCCGGATACAAGTTCTGATAACACCATCTTTCCAAGCCCACATCTGCAATTGTGTGGTGTCCCAACAAGCAACAACACAGCTCAAATATCTAGGACAACATAGCTGGGAAGGATATGCTTGGGGAGATACGTTTTTAAGAGCACAACATCTTAATGTTGCCAAAAAAAAACTGTAAGGAATTTAGTTTCCCCATGGTATCATCATTGTAAAAAGGGAAGATGAACAGTATAACTGCAGCTAAAGAAGACAAAACAAGACAAAAAGCATGACTCTTTAGTCTTTACAGATTGAAGTAAAGCTTGTTTTAAACTACATTCCGGAGAATCACTTACCAATATCCTGCTTTGATGACAGTGAAGAAATAAAATAAATGTTTCCTGTTCTTTCATTATGGAGTCTAGTATGTTAACTTGGTCCACAATCTGTTCCGCATCGTGACACTGCCTGTTCCGTATGAGTCCTCGGATTACAAACAAATACATTTACATATTAAAAGGAACACAAGTGTACTAAGGTCATGAGACTGATTCCTCAATCAAGCCTCTGAAGCGGAAGGTGATACACGTGTCGTTCCTGGTTTGTTGTTTCCGATATCAGGTGCACAGTCACTTGCTGATCATTCATCCCTGGTTCACCTCAACCCATCAATTACAGGCTCATCCTTTAATCAGCTCGTACCAGTGGCTTTGACATGTGAAGGCCTTGTTGTTTGGCGCCACTCATTGGTAGTCCTCAATAATCCTGTGCTCCTGAAACAGCACCAGACTTTCTGGCTGGTCTGCTGTCGTTGAGATTAGTGCATGATCCCTCACTGACTTCCCACCTGTGAACATATTCCTGATTTTTCCAGGCTTAGTTGGAACATCCTTGTACTGTGACCATTCATTAAATGTATCTTCACAGTGTGGTAAAAAAATCTCTAGTGTAATTCAATTTGAGATCATTTTAAGATCCCAAGGCCGAGTTCCCATGCTCAACTACCGGAACCACTTTGTAGCTTTTGTTGGATTACAAAGTACACACATATGAACTGTCCTTGTGCTTGATATTGAACATTTTACAACATGTCCTTTAATACATAAATTAACTTTAAGAAGTTTCCACACTATGCTGCGCACTCTTCCGTTTTGCCTTTTTTGTTGTACAATAAGTTGCTTCTTGTTTACATCACACGCCAGAGAAAACAGACATCAGTTCTGCTTTGTCAGGATCTATTATATGTCGTAGCTGCTATATTGTACTGCCATGTGGTTAATACTTGTATATATGCTGCTCATGCTCTTTCTGCATATCATGTATTTATTTTGTATATAAATGTCATGTTCTTAAATGTTGTATGTGAGGGACAACAGATGGAAATGAGCTCGAAGCTAAAATCCGGCATATTTACATTTTGATTATGAAATTAGATATCGCAATTCCTGTCATAGGTTGTCCTTCCTGTTATCAACAAGCAGTCATTTTCCACATTAGTTGTGGGCTGCCAAGAAACAATGAATAATTTTTTTTTTTTAAAACTCCCAACGAGTCACATTGTAAATTGTGTCCTTGACAATGTTGTGTTTATTAATGAAGAAAGAAGATCTCTATTGTCTTGCTGACACTTTGTTTCAATAAAAAAGTTTGTGAACTGTTCTGGCCACAGTGTTTTTGTCAAGTTGTATTGAAATATGTGTTGTGGCTAGAGCTAGATCAAATTTGCATAGGGGAAATATAACAAAGCGTACTTGTTTCCAAGTTATCTATTTTTATTTCTTTTAGGTTTGTTTTTGTGGGATTACCCGGCTAGGATCAGTTTCACATGATAGAAATTGTTCTCATTACAGTAACAAGTATGTCAATATGTAATAAGAGAAGAATCACAAGAGTTGAGTGTAATAACACAATACTTTCAGTGAAAATTCATCTTTATTAATACCATACATGAATTATCAATGACAGAAACCTGGCAAAAAATATAGATATAAAATCACCCCTATGGTGAGGTGCTACAGGAGCCAGCTATTGGGGAATTGCCATATCAACTCTGTCCCAAATATCACAAACCCTTATTCTCTGAAGGATGTCAATTTAGGAAACACAGGCTGTAAAAATGTCCACCTCCTAGATCAATTATGTGTTGAACTGCTGAGTAGTAGATACACCACAAAGTAAACTAGGGGCGCTAGAGACAATGAGTCACACAGCCTGCAGCTCAGTGAGGATTTATAGCATTGGTGCCAGATACAGTGATGGAGCACTTTCTGACAGGCTGCTCACTGTGCTCTTCTTGCTTAGGGAGACCCCTGCTGGGCGAGTCTGGAAACTACTATCCACTGTGAGCTGAAGCCCATATTTTACATCATATTTAGGTAAACAGGAAAACCCTGACACAGCAGCTTGAGGTCAAGCTGGGTGAGTCTTCCCCCCCCCCCCCCCAGGATAAGAGGTCGTGTCAATGGTCAGCATATTTCCATGAAGTCAAATTTGCATTTTTCATGTATGAGTTATCTGAAATGGATCTGGAAACAGCCAACAAATTCATTACAAACAAAAAGCCACATCATCGAGGTTAAGGGAATTTTGATCAATATTTCACTAAAGGTTGCACCATTGTGGAACATTTTTAACATCTGAAGAGCTCAGTGCTTTTCAGAGGATGACGCACCATTACATTTGCAACTTCAGGGAAAAAAGGATGACTTGGCGGTTAGGATTTTCTCTAAATGTGGTTATTTATTGGTTTTCAGTGCATCCAATACATTTTCAGATAGACCAGGTACATACGACAGCAGAAATTGGCCATTAAATATCTCTTCAATGTGAACATACTGAACCACTGTGATAAACTGGGAGCCGCATATAAAAAAAAAAAGTAAGGGAATGACCTGTATTAGCATTTACTGACTCGGCCCAAGAGACTCCTCCATATTTCATCATGGGTATAGTACAGGCGGGTTGGACCTAAACAGAATGTCAGTACATAGAAGAATAAATAGTTTCCTAAAATGAGGGCAAAATTATTTTATCAGTGATTGTACCATTCAAAAAAACTTTCAAGAGGGTTTTTTATCTCTTTACATTAGATTGAGTTTGTGATAATTCTAGGGAGGAATACGCAGAATAACTTTTACAGAAATTACTAAAATATACAAGCACAGACACAAACATGAGGAGTAAAGCCAACAAAATGATTCGTCATAAAACAGTAGTGTAATCAATATCTAAAGAATCTTTACATGTAGCTCCTTGGTGTGCAGCTTTCTTAGTTGTAATTAAAAACATTTCTGGGAAACTTAAGTTAATACAAAAGTCTTTTTTTACAATCTTGTCAAAATTTGATTTTTAAAATATTTTTGAGTAGCAAATTTGAGAAGTTTCTTGTTACTGTGTGTTCTGAAGAGAGGACCTCCAGATTTCAAGACGAAGCAAACAGTTCTGCAATGACATGTCAACAGATCCAACCCGGGGGCTGGAGGGACATTTTGAGGGGGAGTGGTCTTCAGTGTGTTGCTTTGGACTCACATCAGACAAGATGTGGTCCAGTATTCAAACACTGGCATTGCTCTCTCGCCCAAACCTGTTTTCTAGCACTGAAGCCAAAGGACCTGATGACAGTGTGATGGCCGACAGATGGGTGACATTATATTTAGCACAGACCTACATGGAAGTTATTACCATTACAATAAGAATGATCTAACAGCAATACGTTTACATTAATATACTGCAGGTTTCAGATGTTTTACAGTTCTTACATTAGCAATAATAGAAAAGGAAAGGAAATACACGGTCAATTCATAAGAAAAATAGACTGGAGTCAATAGTGGAAAACAGTGCAAAGAATATTCTAGGGGTGTTTTTGTTTGCTTGCTTGTATGTTTATTTTTTCGAAATTGTTTACAAAAATAAAAACAATTCAAAACAAGTCGAAAACATAGAAAATGAAAACACACTTTTGTAGCATCTGGTGCTCTGGTCCAGACATGCTGCGTACCACCTCTCTCCAGTACCTCATTGTTTTATGCTGCAGGTGTAGGTGAGTGTAAATGTGTGTTTGTGTGTGTGTGTTGGAGTATGAACAGGTCTGGATGCATGTGTGTCAGTTTGTGGATGTTTAAGATTTAGCGTAGTGGTTCTCAACTCCGGTCCTCAAGCTCCGGCACTGTACAGGTTTTTGTTCCAACCAGGTCCTACAAAAACAAATAATTGAGTTTTTAAAAACCGAAGTTGAATTTTGATACTAAGAGTGCACACAGTTTTCTGCAGCCTGCAACAAAAAGTTAAATTAAAGCTAAGCATTTCTTCCCTGTGACATGAGCACAACAGAAACAACGGGGTGCATCGTCAAGGAGAACGCACGCCTGAGAGACCCGAGGTTGGAACAAGAACCCACTGACACGGTCGCCATGGCAAGCACTCGAACAACAGGACACGCCAACTTTGGCTCAAACACTGTGGTGAGCGATGAGGGGGGGGTAAAGACACATGCGCCCACGCCGCCACCCCCGCCAGTCTCACCACACCTCTGAGAGGACTGAGCGGAGCCGAGCAGACGAGGGCCAAGGCTGAGCACCACTGATCATGTGCAGCTACGTGAGGGAGGGGTGGGCTTCTGCTGACCCTGTCCATCATGTGACAGTAAGAGTTTTATCAGTCCATCAGCTATTGTCCATTCCCTATCAATCTCTGTTTGTTTTTAAAAGAACATGATGGAACAAAAACAAACAAAAAAATGTTGAACACAAGTGCTCGAGGCCGCCCTCCCTGACTCCTGTCACTAGTGTGTTGGCTCAGATGGATCCCAGTAGGATTTAAGCATTGAAAAAAAGGGTCTGACTGGGACCTCGGCACTCTACTGGGACGACTGGGAGTTGTCATTCTTGCTCTCCTGACTGGAGGGGGCCTTGTTGTTCCAGGGTGAGTGTGCCCCCAGTGCAGGAGAGCTGTTGAAACTGTCCTCATCCTCCAGGCCATTCGCCACATCGAACTGCGAGTTCTCCAGGCGCGTGATCAAACGCTCGTCCTCGTCACCAAACTCCCCTCCCATCAGAGTGGGCTCTCCCACCATCATCACGTCCTAAAGGGGACAGCAAGGGCCGATACATATTATCCCCATAATACAGGGGGCTGCGCGGAATGACTGGCTGCACGGACGGGTTGTCTGACTGTGTTTGATTCCAACGTTAGAAATTAGTTTTCACTAATAAGAAGTTCATACTTTAAGGGACCAAGGGAGTATTTAACCCTGAGATAATAGTGTCCTCTCAATCTACAATCTTTGTCAGGGCATCTACCTTGACAGTTCAGAAGTCCATGTGGCCCTGACTCCCTATCCTTGTTCCAAGAACCAGAGTCATGGGGCCCTCCCTACTGGCCAGCAGTGGGCATCCCTGATCCTCGAGTGCAGCATCAGGGGGTTTCATTCCACCTCGGGTCTCATTGGCTCTCAAGCAACCAAGTGGGCAAAGACAGCAGTGCTGAGTGAATCACGTGCTCTGATAGATTGAGCAGTAACTCTAAAACCAAGTTGATACAGCGGAAAAAACTGCCCCACTGGAATTCAGAGCAAGGCAACACTACCACAATTATTTTAAGCATTACTTAGTAAAGGGGGTCACGTATACCTCCACTATATAAACCCATAGACCTGTGGCCCCAGAGGACCAGGGACTGCCCATCAATGGTTACATTAGGGGGTCTACTGACTAAAATCTACACATTCCTCGGAATTAGAGAAAGCTACCCCCTTTACACCTACCACACCTTAATCCCCCCATCCATAAGCATCCCCTTCCTATTTCTATCCTGCTGCTACACCTACTTCCTAACACACCAACAACCCTAGCTAACACCCCCTATACCCAAAAATGATTTTCTAACCTCCTTGCCGTTTTTTCCAAACCCATCCACCCTCTGATATTTACTCCAATGCCTTGCTCAGCTGAATTTAAGAGGCGCAGAAAGAGGTCAAGTAGATGTAATGCTTACAGGTACCTGGCTGGAGAGTGAAAAGCTGTTGGCTGGACTCTTCTTTTTGCTGTTGCTGTTGTTATTGTTGCCTCCGCCGGTGCTCACGGTGCTTCCACCGGACACCTTCCTTTTCCGCCTCTTGTTTGGAGCTTGTCTGGCGGGCTCAGCTACATGTAGAAACAGGAGATGATAGGATTTATAATCATATATTTATTAAAGTCTCTGTAGATATGTTGCAGATAATGAAAAGCTGTGCAATTTCCACTGGATTTGAACTCCACCGTTTAATAATTGAAGGTTAAACAATGCCATAATTGACACAGACAATCTGAAAGGTGTGTGCATTACCTGGAGGTGCGACCATTCTTTGCCACTTTTGGAAGAGGCAGGTCTTCAGGCAGTCTCTGGGGCTCAAGCTGTACGTCTTATGCCTCGACATCAACTCTTGCATGGGCTCCAATATCACACATAGCTTTATGAAAAAGAAAGAAAGAAACCAAACAGAATCAAATTAGTGTTAACAGGTTGTTGTATGTGAAGCTTTATTAAAACGACCGATGGATAAAAGATTATCATAAAGTAACTTGCTTACACGGAGGTAGTTGAGCGTGGAGTTGGACAGCCCACATCTGGTGATATTTTTAGCCAGCTGATCGAGCATTTGGGGATCCTATGAGAGAGATGAGATGAATAAGTGCATGTACAGGATGTGTATTTCAGTGTCAGTGTGTGGTTATTTGCATCTGGAACTCACATGCATGGCCAAAATACTCCTTGGGAGGACCTCTCTGTGTTGTCTGATGCTGAAGTGCCACGTCTTGATCCTCATCATGTCATCGAACATGAACTCTAGGTACAGGCGGCCCTCCACACAAACCTTATCCCCAGAGGAGAAATATAATAAGTTAGAAGTCACAGCAACCGGAAGCTAATAAAAGGCTGTACATTTAGTGTCCAGTGTACCTGTGTGAACATGGGTTTGCCGTTCTGGGTCACCATGGTGCACTGGTCACAGTCGAGAGACACAAAGTTACTGTGGAAGGACTCCTTTGGGTGCTTCAAAACGTAGAACAGCTCAGTGGCACCCCCCTCGAAAATACTTCGGAAATATCGTGGAATCAATGTCCGGCCGATGGCTGCACACACAAATGATAACTTCGTAAATAAAACGAATACAATTAATACATACAAATACGCCTTACACCGGGGGATACAGTAGCACAAAATCATGCAAACATAAAAACATCATTAAGAATAGGATATACATTATGCTACAAACAGTTATATGCCAATCATAAATAAAACATTCTCATGATATGGACATCACATACAGTTTATACTTTAAATGATGACGGTCAATTTCTTAAGATTTGTAATTAGAAGCTGAAAGTAAAACAATGATTAGCAATGGCATGTAGTCTTTATTCTTACTGTATCGTTTGGGTCCATCTTCCAGACAGAAAGTGATGGTGAGCATGGCATCATCCTCGAAGAACTCTGTGGTGAACGCATCCCACCACAGATTGTCACAGTCCTAAAAACAGAGGAAGAACCATTACTCTTATTTTTCATATAATCACAATAAAATAAAACATAGCATTCTAGTCTAACCCAGAGAGAACACACTGAAAAGCAATACTGTATGTTTCCTATAAAAATGTTATTTGCTATATATAGATAATAATAATAATAATACATTTCATTTTAGGCGCCTTTCATGACACCCAAGGACACCGTACAATTAGTTAAAAAAGAAAATGCTAATAGGCAACAGAACATGATAAAAACACAAACAGGAAATCATGGAGGAGACAATCAAGTGGACACAAATGAAACATATAATGGGGAGCACTACAGTGAGTAGGCAGATATGAACAAGTGGGTTTTTAATTGGGATTTGAATATGGTGATTGTGTCTGACTGTCGGATGTGCGGGGGAGGGAGTTCCAGAGTCTGGGAGCAGTGCAGCTAAAGGCCCGAGCACCCATGGTGACGAGGTGTGGCGTGGGGACGGTTAGCAGACCAGCAGAGGAGGAGCGAGAGGGGGTTTACTCCTGAAGGTCAGCCAGATGGTGGGTGGGGGGTGGCAGGTTATGTAGGTTTTGTAAGTGAGCAGCAGGTTTTTGAAGTTGATACCACTCAAAAGAAGAAGCAGAAATTCTTGTTTCCTCTAATCTACCATTTAAATGACCGTTCAACTGTTCCTGCATAGTTGAACTTTCTCTAATACAGACACAGGTGCTCTTAAAGATGAGTAAATATTGGTGGTGCAGTGAAGACGTGCAAAAAAGCTGAGAGTTGAACTTCCTAAATAAAGCACTCTGGGCTTCAGACATCATGTGTGTTTTGTTGGACATAAAACTAAAGTGTGTTTAAATTCCTCCAATGTACAGAAGTCATTGGGTATGCATTTCTAAAAGTGTGCACACTGACAGTCATATAAAAAGAGTGGCTCATAACAGCTACTCAGTAGCGAGCTCAGGCATATAAACAGTTGGCACTCCAATTACATTTTAGCCAGGTTGATAAAATAATCCTATTAGAGCCTGAATGTAAATTAAGTCAGTGCATTCTCGGGCTTCATTTCCCATAAATCCCTAGCATGGTTAGCTACACACAAACAGCAGCTGGGGAGGGGACATCTGAAAACACGGCCACAGTGAGCTGCAGAATGTAGCACTACAGATAGTAATCACAAGAAGCCTGAAAATGAAACACTGATGCTGTGTTTTTGTTTGAGTTCTTGTTACTCTCTATGTGGATGATGAAGTGACTCTAACCTCTGTCCAATTCTGTAGCCTTTTGTTCAGCTCATATATCCGGTAATCTGTCTGGTTCCCGTACGGTGTGGGTCTCCTGAAACAGAAAGAAGGGGGGTTTAATCACTCTGCAGTTCTGTGATTTTTAACAGATGTAGCTTAAAGCAATGACACAGGCGGTCTCACGCTTCATTTAACAGCAGGTGAATTGAATGTTTATGTTATAAAATGAATGGAGAGTAGAGATTATAAAGACTGAATGAATACATTCTGAGTTAAGACAGCTACAAGCTAAAGTTAAGCACTCACCCCATTCCAGGCTCCATGTATGATGGGGGGTACATGGGTGTAGGCCTAAGAGGAATACAAAACTAAATCAGCAACCATTTGCTTCGAGGCAGGATGTGTGTTTTAATTGTTCACGGCTAGTACACATCCACATAACCATAAATCAGGAAGGTATTAAAAAAGGGTTAACATGTTCAGTATCTCTCATTTTATTTCAATTCAATATCACGTTCAAAGTTTGGGTGATGAAACAGTGCAATTTGAATAAGCACAAAAACATATACACAGTACACGTATTCTTCAATAAACTCTACGTCAACAAATGACATTAACATATTACAAGTTGTAGAAAGAAGACATCAGAATTAACACCTTGCTTTAACCTATATTGCATTTCACAGTATAGCCCGGACCTACCCCACATCTCTGTCCAGCATAGCTCCTGGGTGGAAGGGGGGAAAGCTGCCGCCGTTTGGGGGGCTCCTTAGGAGAGTACAGCTTGAATGACTTTGACGAACAGCCTGCAGAGAAGCACGCAGCAGAGGAGGGGGAAAAAGAACAGAGATTTAGAGGAGATTTAGATTGCTTTAGACTTAGCTCGTTCAAATCACAGCATCATCTAAGTAATCTAATGCTGGATGATTTTGTGGAGATTTACTCAAATAAAAAGCAAGCTGCCAAAACAATTTCCTGCTGCTTTCATTATCTAATGCATCTTCAATTTAGTAAATGGACAAGAAAACAAATCATCACAGGGAGAGGGGGAAACAGCAATATTTATTAGCCAGCCTGAGAAAACAATCAGTGAAATGGGCGACACATCAGAGGAGATTGTCTGGCATGTTCTCCGTGCTCATTATAGGGAACCCTCCTCTGTGCATTCAGCCCCATGTAATCGAACCATGCGCCTGTGTTGTGTGCGTCTCCCCCTCTAGTTGCCTTATTTACCCATCCCCCACTCATATCCCAGCAGTTGTTAACCCATGTCTGTCCAGATAAGGCATTCATGCTCAGACAATCAGCGCGATGAGAAACACATCTATTCTAAACGTCTTTTCTCAAGGAGACCTCACACAGGCAGCGGCTGGATCTAATTAGGTCCGCCTAAAGACGTGGGATACTCCAGCTGATAGTTGTGGACTGAGATGTTGAGAAAAATAACCTTTCGAAAAACTGACTTGCCCATCACATCTACCCTTTGGCTTTACTACTTGTTAGCATCGAAATAGAAATATGTAAAGGGACCCAAAGGAAATGAATGTGTGGTGATGAGGAGGTCAACAGATATGGGCAATGTCTCCCCTTTGGAAATGTTGATTATCAATGGCCTGCATGTAAATCCAGTATTACCAATCCCCATAGAAACCTCAAGGCAGCATGATGTTACTTTCCCAATTCATGCACAATTCTCAGTCACTGTCACCAGGGCGTCTAAAATAGTAAGTGTACCAAATTAAAACCAGCAGGGGGGGCACTCATTGTAGGCCGCATCACACCCAACTGTGCTGTATCTTTTAGGCTACTACAACACTTGTGTTAACCTAAGGGATACGCCACAGACAGAGACTACAAATGATGATGTTTTTGAAAGATGAACGACAAATCGAGGGAGAAAGGGATGAATTGGGGTCAAGTATGTCTGGGTGAACTCTGATCCGTCTGTCCTCTCTATTGCGGGAACAACTACAACGCCTTCATTCGCTCTGTCTAACCCTTCACCCCCTTGCTCCAGAAAGAGTCACAGCAGGTCAACTTCTCCTCCCATTACTATGTGGGTGGACCTGCTCAGAAGAACCCCACAACAGCATTAGATGCAGACAAGACTCAAACACAAACAAGCAGTCTTTGTTTCATCTAAAAAGGCAATGCAAAAACTACATGGCAACAAATAAGAGCAGGGTTCTTATTTTCTCCAGAATAACATGCCTACACATTCAGAAACAGACATTCTACAAAATGCTGACACACAGTTCACTATCACCTTGAATACCAACCAACAAGCACTCTACAAAGCTGTCCAGTCTCCAGCATCAAACCTGTATAAAAACCATCTGCGGAGTACAGCACTCAGACTACAGATGCATACATAATGCCACGGGCCAGAAAGAAACGATCAGGAAAGCAACCTGACGTTGGGTACAAATTGAGATGGATGACTCCAGCCAGTCAGCATCTTTTAGAAGAAGCCGACTAAGAATTAAGATCATGATGCATAACCCATCTAACACATGGGGAACTCGAAATAGTGTGACTTTGATGCAGTTTAGTCCGCCCAAACTGTTCATTGCAAACAATAGAGCTGCATCCAGAGGCTGGCCCTCAGCCAATAAAAGATCCAAAGCAATGCATCAAGACGGCCAACACCATTGAGATGCTTATTGGTGTTTATGTTTTGTTATGTATGTGGATAGATATTTAAAACAATAAGGCAGTATTCACTTTCGGGACCAGGCGTAAATTGATCTGCAGGGCCGCATTCATTTACCGAGGACGGATGCCATTGCTAAGCTATTACCTAGCTAGATGCTAAACTTCCGTTATTAGCGCCGTGCAATTATAATTTCCTGTGCTTCTTCACTAGTGGTCTCTGCATTTATGTTGAACCAACAGAGCTGCCAAAGTAGTGTAACTGTAAGTTTGAGTTACCTGCAGAGAAAGGTCCACCGAAAGGCGGAGTTGCTCAACACCTCCGCTCGGTGTTTCTCGACAGCTAGCCTCTCTGCTAGCCGGAGCGGCTGGACAGTTAAAGCTCCAGCTCCGACCGTTGGTAATGGAACGATCAGTCCTACGTCCCAAACAGGACGGCAAGCGACGGAGACAGAAAAAGAAAAACTCCGCTACTTGCCCTGGTTCCTGTCAAATTGCAATGCCCGACTGTATGTTTTAAATGGCATTTGTTTGGGGGACGGTGCTACCTATCTACTACTACTACAGGACCCTTTGTTCCTGCCAGCCGAGACATGAAAAAAACAAAGGCCCCGCCTCCTTCGGGCTCCCCCGCCCATCCCATCACACAGACCGGACAAACACGGGCCTCGCTCCACGGCCAGCAGGGATCCCAATTTGTCTTGTCCTGGAACTGTTGGGGCAAAAGAGGACCCCCGAGTGGAACAAGATGGGTCCCCGCTGAGAGGATCAATGATCAGCCCACATTTTGCCCCTTAACACACACGTATTTCGGATGGACAAACTCATTTCTATTCTGTATCAGCTTGTACCAAGTCTGTTTTCAAAGCTATGTTGACTATGTCAATATGCCTAATGTTTTTATTACATCACCATTCTACTAAATGAAAGTAGGAACATTATTATTGTTGCGATTCAATACATTCAGACTGAAGCACTCCTTTGTGCATCAGTCAATCCTCACAGTAACAGAGCTAAATCCCAGATCAAATGCATGCTAAAGGGGCTTTGAAAATGTTTTCCTCTCAGTGATTGTGATTTTATGTTAAATGTTTGTTGTTTGTTTTTCATGTCTTGTGTCATTTGTCTATGTTGATGTTACACATGGAGCTGCTGTGATGCAAGTCAAATTTCAGACTTGATCAATAAAGTATTATCGTATCGTTATCGTATTAATATGTGAATAGGTTTATACACATTTCAGCTAAACTCATCCAGTCCTATAGGTATTTTTGGAAACGTTGGGGTCCCACTTGAACTTAGAAGTCTGGTGGGTTTGAATAGTATACGTAGACCATCAGTTCATCTCAGCACAGTTCCTTATACAAAAAAAATAATAAGGTTACATTTAAAAAATAAACAGTTGATGTCTGCATTCAACCACAGACCAAAGACTTTCAGGTCTATTTGCTGTGAAACTTTGCAGTAATTGTTTTAATATTTTTCTGTCCTGGTGCATTAATACAACCATTGTATGGCAGGGTTATTGACACCTAAATAATGTATATTATATAATTGGGTAATCGATTATTTAAAAAAAAATGTTGACAAGCACCTTTGTCCAGTACTCTACAGCGCATCCTGAGCGTACCTATAAAGAAAAACGTGTGATTCAGATGCTGTGTCTACACTGTTCAGCAAATGTTAGAAAAATACTAGTTACTTAAAAAGGCTGTTTAATTCGAGCCAACTTTGTGAAGGCTTATGAAAATTGTCAGCCTTAGCAGATGACTCAAATCCTTCAGACCGCAGTCCTGAGCCTCAGATTATGTAAGGGTATAATCTGCAGCCTCACTTTTAATCAATACCCACTCTCATGTTTACAAGCAATATATTTGAAGCCCAGAAAACCTTTTGTGGTCACAAAGTGCATTTAAAGCTCAATTTGTTGAGGCTTTCACTTGAGCTGCAGTAGGTTTGTCGAATTATGTAAGCAGGGAGAGCAGATGAGAGAAGTGCAGCAATAGATTGACAGGAGAGTGCCACACAAATAACTGCTGTGAATGGTAGGCTACATCATCTGTACAATTCTGGTTGGTAAACGCTTTCTAGATAAATTAACTGTGATTAAATCCAGTGAGTTGTCTTTAAGTTATGACAGAAAACTAAGAATTAAACAGCTACAAAGGGAATATAGAAGAAAGGCTAAAGCCTTTTGTTGTAACACACCCAGATCTTGGATCTCTTGTTGAAAACAATGATTCCCAGTCTGCCTGTGTTGTTGATGGACTTACACAAGAAGAGATGAGACAGAACAACATCTCCCTCTGCTGGTAAACGCTGAAAACATCCTCATGCTTCAGAATACAACAGTATAAGATGAATGAACTTTATCCAGCAGTTTATGCTGTAAACTATTGACGAAGAAATAACCTGGAGCTTCTAATAAAATAAACTATACATTTTCTATCATGTAGTTATATCTTTATCTGCCTATTCCATGATTATAACAACCACAACATAAGAGTGGGCCATCTGAAGAAAGACGGCATCCTATTTCATCTGTATTTAGTAAGAGTCACACATACACTATATGCACACATACACACCGAGTACCAGGTAAGTAGCACCGGCAGGTAGTGATAACATTAAATAGCAGTCATATGCACAAGAACTCAGTTCTATTTTAGTCCCCGGAAAACTGGTCTTGTACTACACACGATTTCTTGTATTTATAGATCCTTAGCTTCTAAGACCACTTTACACATACTGTTTTATGCAGAAGTAGGACTGCATAGCATTAACACAAATACATTCAGTGCAAGCCCTGTTCCAGAACAAAATGACTAAGAATGTATCTGAAATGAGTGAGGGTGCACTAGTAGCTACATCTTTGGCCATCCATAGAAAATAGTATGGAATTTACGAAAATGTCCCTAAATAAAGAGCAGGGTTTCCCACACATAGACTTATGTGTGGGAAACATAAAGTCCCCGTTCTCGGCTACCACCACAAGTATATTTCAGATCTGTGGGAAACACTGAAGAGGTTATAATGGAAGACAGCTAGAAAAGGTAGAAAATAGTACCTAGTAAGTGAATAATGTGTATTGGGTTTTTTCAGCAACAGTTTGACATAACAGCACGCAAACCTTCAATATATTATAGCGCCTGCCACAATGCAGGGCAGTTTTAACCGCAGACACAACATCTTACTAAATCCCTGTTTGTAAGTGTACGTAAGAAAGTTATTATATTATTTTTTTAGAAGACAACCTATAACATTTAAAAATAAACTGACTGACTGAAAAAAAACTGTTGTGAGCTGTGAACAAGTCAGACATATGTTAACATGCCTTGAAAGCATATTTCAAGTACTATTTTGATGTGTGTACAATGTGCAAACTTTTGACAGTGAGAGTGAATCAGTAGTGAGGAAAACTGAAGAGAGCGCTGGTGAACAGCATGTTAAGACTCCTGTTGCTGCTCTTCAAGACGAAGCAGAAACCTGTCAAGGAAACCGTTGTGACACCTGACTGGAAGTGATAGAAACACGGCAGCAGACAGCACCAACACAGACTGCGCCCAGAGGATGCTGCTGTGGGCTGACAGGAGGAAGCCAAACAGCATGTGTTCCAGATAAAGAAGGTTGATGGATTACAAATGAAAGGGAGTGTGTGAATGTTGGTGTTATGGACACTTTGCAATGACAGGGGTCACTGGTCTGAATCCAGGTAGAATTAGCCTGTTGTTGACAGACTGGATCTACTGCAGTGTAAACTGGAGGTTTGGTCATTTATATGGTTTGTCCTGTTGTGCCAACATCCACGGAATTAAATGAGGTATCCTAAAAAAAGAGTCATAATTAACCAAAGTATCTTCTATAATGTGTTATAGAAAAAGAAAATCCACCACAAAAACAGGACTTACACTTTTATTCTTCTGATACTGCATGAGTCAGTCATTTCTGATCATAAACTGAACAACAGAGAGACTGACTGCAGCGTTATATTATTAAGAGACTCATCTTGGACTATGACACAGATTCTGAATAATTAAATAACTATGACACAGCACCTGCATTTACTGGAAGTTGGACACTTAATCTAATTTACAACATGAAGCCATGAATACTTATTCTAATGTTACATCTCCGAAATTAAATAAGCATGATGATTCAGTCACTATTTCCAAGTAAATGGACCAACTCCCCTTTCTGACATCATTATTCAAGTCTTGGTTCTTGCCTGATTTTCAGTTTAGGGAAACATTTGTCTGATTGAAGTCAGAAGCACTCTATTCTTACTTATGGCAGGAAATCCTTGAAAAAACTGTCAACGATTGCCTTTATATTCTTATACTTGTTTGCACAATTCATCTTTGACACCTGCTAAAACAAGCTGCTTAAATCTTTTAGTTTTCTATACTTTGTATACCTTGTAAACAGTTGTATTTGCACACACGTAGGTGGCATAGGGATAAAGCAGAACGCTTTCAATGTACTCTGCGGCTGTCCTCCTCACACCTTTTGTTTCCAGAACACAGCTCTCTTTCAATCTGAGCAATGTTACTGTAACCTTCTACTGTACCTCAGTACCAAACCTGCTTTCATGTTATAAAGATTCTGCGGCTTGCACATCTCCCACAAATAAAGGTGTGCTTTGACAGAAAATGATTTTGTCTTTCCTCCACATTTAGTCTTCTCCCCATCCTCCCCCTCCATGTGGCTCCAGCTTTCCTATGCCATCCTGTCGGCCTGCAGCAGATGTGACATCACTACAGCACGTCTCCACTCTACGACCCCCCCCCCCCCCCCATCTCTCTGACTCCCCAGCATCTCTGTCTCCCACGCATTCCTTCTTTCTCTCTGCCTCTGCACACAGCCATTTTGATCTCGCAAACAAGATCTGAGGGACTCACTAGGGTAGAGAGAAGAGGGGACTAGAAAAAAGTAGTGAAGAATTGAGGAAGGAAAAAAGGTTTTCAGTGCAGTGAGATAAAGCTGTGGCAGTCCTGTTGTTGTGAAACGGTAATCAAAAAAGCCCTGGCCGTTTGGCTGCCATCTTGGTTCTGCTTAAAGTCACTTTTCTCCAATCAGGAGCCATGTGACTTTCTGCATGAGGTAACACCACTGTTACTGCGAAAGACACTGAAGGAGTGACAGAGAGAGAAAGGGGGGTACAAGGAAGAGGGGGCGAGAGTGAGATGAGGAAGGCAGAAATAAGAGGGAGGGGTAAGAGTGAGATGGGTGAGAGATGGAGAGAGTGGTGAGCAGAGGGGAGCGCGTGCTTGAGTGCATGCGAGAAGGGAAGGGAGGGAGAGAGGGGTATCTTCGGCTCACAGGCAATCTATTTTTACCATTTAGTCTGAACAAAGGATGTGATTGGCTCCACTGTGTTAGGACGGATCTCCTTCATGCGGGGAACAAAGCCTTAAAAAGGCTGATTCACAGCAAAGTCACAACAACAGTAGGATGTCACAGGGTTGTCAATTAACTAGACAGACAGGAGAAGTCTGTTTTTAATCATGACTCACATTCTGCTACATGCAAATATGCTCCGTTCTGATTCCTCTGTTCTATAGTGATTTGACTCAATAACAAAACAAAGACAAACAGGACCAAAAGAGAAAGTGCTGCAGAAAGAGACAATTGTTGGATTCCCACACAAAGGATGGGGAGGATCTTCCATCCACAATAGTGCAAGAATGTAAACAAACCAGCGTTCAATTATAATGATTTACAGTGTGCACAGCAAGGCAAACCGGTGTTGATCAATGTCATTGTTCTGACAGATCCAGCAGCCTAAACTTGTCCTAGCAGGTTCCTCGTGAAGGTGTGTGCGAGTGTACATGCCTGCTCTCCATGTGCACCCAAGCCTACATGTGTAAACCTGTGTGTTTGAACGCTGAAGGCAGATCTCTCTGGCTCGACCTCATTCTCTGTGTAGCGTTGACAAACATGTGGATGTCATTAAAAGTTCTGCTCTGGAGTGGGGTCTGTCAATACAGAGAGCAAAGGAGGCAGATTTCCTGGAAAACTACAGCACAGAGAGAGGAAACAAGATAGTAAAGAATCTGACACGGCTTCGAGGCCTCACTGATATTATTCCATCTGATAGGCGACTACCAATGAACCACAGTAGCCCCATTAAAATGATACTGACACCCTAATTAAATCTGCCCTCTCTGAGTTCCCCATGAGCAGATGTACAATTCAATTTCTATCTGTTCCTTGCTCCCTTGTGCTAGACAGAGGCAGTCTCCTGGCACTTTGAGGCTTTCACTGTGCACGAGGCAACCGTCTCACTGTGGTAGCGTTAAAGAGAAATTGCTCCAAAGTCAAACAGGATCAAACGCTCGATGGGAGAGAACAGATTATAAGATCTACTTGATAAAAACTGCCACAACATTTTGCCTGCCAAAGACTGACATGTGTAGACAGAACTACTAGATTGACTTTCTTCACGCTCTGACACGGTAGCATAAGTGCAGAGTTTGAATGCTGACTACCAATTAGGCACCATAGCATTGCAGTAAGACATATTTTATGTACGATTTATTTAAAGCTCAAGAATGTTGATTTCAGGAAAAGCCAACCCAAGCGTAACAACAGTGTTACAAATGAAAATATGCAGGAATGCAAAGTCACATTAACAAAGAGTTGCCTAATATCCAAACAGCAGCTTAACTCCAAGCAAATTAAACTCTTTAGTTCAATCTTTAAGTAAGCCTCATTAATCGTTTGCACTCATCAAGAGAGATGATTAAAACCATTTTAAATTGAGTAAAGTACTTCTGCTTCATTCAGTTCTGTCCTGTGGTATAAAAACGTTTTTTGTACAGTAAGCAGGGATTTTCACCAACTACTTTAGACATATAAGAGCAAAATAATGTAGAAGAAGATCTATAGTGGCTAGATAAAGCTGAGGAAAGGAGTGAAAATAGCTAGCAAGTAAAGTACTTATTGATATCTCAGTGTGTCTGTAGATGGCAAAACTCAGCCATTGATCTTCTGCAGCACAGCAAGCTAGCGTGACTGAAAGGGTCTGCTGAACAACTCAATCCCAAAGTGAGGTAGCCTCAGTCTATAACCTTGTTTTAGGTTAGGACATGTGTTGAGAGCGGAGCACAGCTACACGTGTCCACACACACACACACACAAACTAACACAGCCTGACGCTGGCCCTAGGCAGCTTTGCAGCACTTTTACATAAGTCATCTTTCTGACAGCTCCACTGAGCACAGAGACCGAACAGGAAACAGGGAGAAAAGAAAGAGACTGTAGGCACTCACCGGGACAAGCACAACCTCCAACAGACATCTTCTCACATGTTGGGCTCTGCTCTGAACGAAACAGCTGCACTCAGTCCACACGCCGCTCGCATGGGCTAACTGAGGAAAACAACACAACGACAGAGGGGTGGAGAGATTAGTGGGAGTGGTACAAAGCAGGGCATGTACACCACAACTACACTCCTCTCCCTCTGTCAGAGGCAGGAAGTTGGCAGTGGTGCTCTAGCTGCATCATTAATAGGCATATTGCAACACAAGTGGGAGGGGAAATGAGAGACGAGGGATATAGGAAGACAGAGCTTTTACATAATGTGAGACAGGAGTAAGTAATATGGAATGGAGCGAGGCACTGTGTGGGTTTCTGAAAGGGATAATGCAAGGGGGAGGTCAGTACAGCAGAGGAGAGGAAAGAGAGAAAATGCACAAGGTGTGTGTGTGTGTGTGTGTGTGTGTGTGTGTGTGTGTGTGTGTGTGTGTGTGTGTGTGTGTGTGTGTGTGTGTGTGTGTGTGTGTGTGTGTGTGTGTGTGTGTGTGTGTGTGTGTGTGTGTGTGTGTGTGTGTGTGTGTGTGTCAGTGATGCATCGTCCATTTTTGTCCGTTGCTGCTGTGGGAGATAAACATACTCAGTGGGAGCCCAGAGGCAGAGGGTCATTACTGCCAAACAAACACACATGCACACACACTCACTCACACACACACTCCCCCTTGTGTATGACAGATTTCCATCTCTCTTTCTGTCTCCGTCTCACGCTTCTTGCGTCTGTTTTTCTGTTTCTGAGAGAAGATTGGTGTTAATCACTACAGACAGTATCGATTAAAAATGCAAAGCCCACCTGGAGCACAGGGACACTGAGAGCCCATGGGAGGCAGGAAGAGAGCGCATGTGGGACGTGCACGCACTCGTTCACACGGAGCTGCATGTAAACAGTCTGACTCGGCTGCAAACTGTCTGCCCAGCAGACTCTTTTATACTCGTTTCTGGCTTTTTAATCTTCACTTCAGTTGCAATTTAATCTCCTCAGCCTGTTGATATTACCATGACCTTTCTGCAGCTTGATGTGATTTTGTTTCATTTCCTTTCCCTCCTCCACGTCTCTGGTTTCCCTTTCCGTTCATCCCATAAGTTCTCTTGGCTCGAGCTTGCCTGTTCTCCGAGCCAATAATCTTAAAATCTCACACTTCACTACACAAACACACAAGCACATAAGTGACTCTCATGAGCTGGATGTCTTTGTTGCTCGTGTACATGATCCTGTCAGATGGATAACAGATTGACCCGTATCATTGAGTCATCCTGACTCAATACAAAATACAAAAGGTTTAAATAAATTACAACTTCAGCCTACACTGCAAAAACACATCAGGGCTGACAGTATATTAAAGTGATTCCCACAAAAAGTGTTCTTGTACCTCAGGGGATACTTTGGACCAGTGTTGTAGTCAAGTCACCAATTCACGAGTCCGAGTCCAGGACTCGAGTACTCCATCTCTGCATTGGACTAAATGGAATATCTGATTTCTTAGGAATTATTTCCACATATTGACTGTTGAACTGCAACCACAATTGAAAGTGCATTTTAACATGAAAATGTTTTAGAAAGCAGATACAAAATAATGGATAGTAGCTGCTAAAAGTGATGGATGAACTGAAATTAGGTAAATACCATACAGTAGATACAGTGTTCTGAAAGTACTGGATTAGAGGTTAACATTGATAAATATAATAAATAATTGGGTTGTATAAATGCAAAAAAAGTTCTTACAAATTGACAATTTGTTGCAACAATATCTACTTTTATATAATTAATGTTGTTAAATACTATGGGTTGAAATAATGATGGATGTTCCAAATTAGTCATCATTCATCTTTTCATCTGTTTGGGTTTTGAAAGCACATTAAACCACTGGTCTAATATATCCATGAAGCCAAGAGGCTCCAACAAGAGGATACACAAGAGTTGAAGCCCAGGAGAGTAGAACAAACCTCAGAGCTCTGTTGTCTCTCCCTCACAACCATTATACTAACAAAAGACAAACAACTGTCTCCACTGAAATGCAAGCTGACAGACGCATTCCCCAAACACCAGCGTACTGGCAGAGGCATCAGAGTTAAATGTCATACACGGTGTCAGACACTGTTCTCAGGACCGAGACACAATGAACCACCCTGCGGGCCTCCTCTTCTTTCCTCCTACTCATCTCTTTTAATTTCCACTTCCCACACACTTCTTGTTACTGTTTGAACAAGGTCTGTCTCTCACTGAGTCCTCTCATCTCTCTTCTGTTCTGTCACCATTCGGTTCCTTCTGCGCCTTGTAGGTCGCGATCTGAGGCTTTGACATGTACAGAAGATTCTGCTACTGTAATATGGTGAACTCTGAACAACAGCAGATGGGAGAGCTAGAGATAGACATCCCCACACTGAAAGAGACAGAGATAAGAGCGAGAGAGAAGAAAAGGAACGGTGCATGTCTGTGATTTGGGGAAAATGGCTTCTGTTTCCAGGAGCAATTAAGCTTTGAAGCTGAGCACTTCACCACTGACCGTCTCCCCTCTCTTCCTCTCACTCTTCGTCTCTTGCAGATACAGAGATTCCCGCTCTGTCAACACGTCCACACATCACTCAAAAAGCTGTGAGAATAATGAAGTTCCCCCCTCTGTTCTCTACACTGTGGGAACTCTCAGCAGTTCAGTAACACTGTGTGACAGACAGCACACACACTGTCTTGCTTACTGGGGTAAAACACACTCTTGGTATGTTTTCCTCTGACAGCAGACAAACACTTCCTCGAATGCACTGACAACCTTCCACACATTTCCAACAAAATGTTTAAAAAGCTCCAGGTGCCATACTTGTTATCTCAGGTGAGTTCATGCCTTTCATGCTTACCTCTCAGTCTTTTGTCTTGCAGTTGTTCTGCGACCCCCACCCCTCCTTTCCTCTCCTTGTCTTTTATGCACAGTTTTTCACAGGCAAACACTCTCAAACATCCTCCATCTCAACGCTTACCTTTGTCTCCCTCCTTCTTCTGCGCCCACGCTCGCTCCGAAAAGTCCGCCTGGGTCAGCCACGCAGAGGTAACCAAGCTGCGCCAGAGAGAGTGAGAGAGACTGTGATGAGCAGATGCAGATAGGAGACACACATGAAGGGAGGGGGTCTAGCAGTGTGCAAATTGGATGCTGGGAAGGAAGGAAGGAAGGAAGGAAGGAAGGAAGTGAAGGAAGGAAGGAAAGAGAAGGAGGAGGGGAAAAGAGGGAGGGCTGGTCTGGTATTAATATGACGCAGAGGCAGGAGTCAGAGGCACTTTTCCTCTCTCCTCTCCAGCCCCATCCCTCCATACCCACCAAGAGAGAGGAGAGAGGGCACTGTATCCATGGCAACGGCAGAGCAGCTGTAGGTAGCAGTCGAGGAGTGTGTTGGGTGGTGATCCTCTCTTTCTCCGTCTCTCTCACACACAGTCCAGCTCATAAGTCGTTCAGCTTTCCCTACAGAAGTACAGTACAGCCTAAGGTTTAGTGGGGTAAAAGCTGTAGAGGAAAGGAGCAGCAGTGGATTCATTATGACAGGACTGGTAATGAAAAGCAGACTGGTTGGGCCAGTTGTGTCTCAGACACGTGGGGAACAGGCACCAAGGAAGCACAAGTTAATCCTACTGTAACCGCCAGCATCACGTAATGGAATTAGTTACATTTGTGCTAAATAACGATTCTTATCATGCAGTTTACTCTCCCCACCTGATGGGGATAATGAGAAACATTACAAGCACCATGATATGACAGAATAAAGACAGTGATTTAAAACAAGAAGGGAACAAAATAACTGTCTCTGTGTGAAGCCAAAGCTGAAACGAGATTGTGAAAGAAAACAATACAAATGTAAATATGTCTTGGTGACGCAATCAATGGAATTTGACTACAGAAAACAACCATGCAGAACTTTCTCCTTGGGTTACTTGTTCTCCCTGAAACACAGGTACTGTCATTTAGGGAATTCTGACACAGCATTCCAACTATCTGTTATGCTACGCACTAAATTCTTTATTATTCCGCCGGGTTATTTTGCGCCTCTTCTTCTCCCATATTGAACATCGCAGAAACTCCGTTCAAACATCAAAACGTTCAGCTCGGTCGGAAATCGATGGCTATTAGTTTCATCATTCATAACTTTCGTAATTCCAGAGATACATCCCATAATTCATCAAATTTTTAACATGGAAGTCAATGGAGAAACTCTTCAGACTTCAACAATCTTCATGCAACTTCAACTGCTAACTGCTCCTTCTTCAACTGCCAACTGCTCCTTCATACTTTCACTCAGAAACCTCATTCCAACTTTAAAATGTTACACATCTTTCTGACATTATTCGTGTATCCAACTTTTAAATCTGATTCTTACTTTTAGATATATTAAACATTGTTCAGACCTTGGTAAAGAGGCCTTCTTCAGATTTTAGAGTGCGTGATGTCACAGCTAGAGTGGAGGACAGATTTAATTTTGCCTTCATATTTTCTTTTAAACCTGCCATAATTCCCAAACCCTACATTCCTGAGACATCATTTTTTTTACAAATGCCTCTTGAGGGCATGAAGTGACAAAAACGTTCAACATGTCTCCATTAAACCCAATTGTAAGTTCAGCCTCATCGATCCCCACCACAGCAGCCGCACAGTTAATCTGCCAAAAAGTCCACATTATTAACCCGAAAGTACACAAAAATTACACTTCAGATGCTCAAGTTCCTTGACATGCTTCACGCTTTGAAATTTCACCGATATCTGTTACGGTTCTTCAACAAAACGTTCACATGTAAGAGGTTTATCTCTCATTCAGAACAATGAAAATGCTCTCCTTTCACTGTCACCATGGAAACCTTTGATCTCTGGACAGTCATTAGCTCAAATATAAACACCTGTGTCATGGAACACGATGATGTCATAACTCCAACTGACATGCTCAGAGCAGCAGACTTCAGATAAGGGTTAATGATCCTGCCCTCAACAGCTCTACGTCAATTATGGGGTGTCATCATATGCCGTTTCCATGGAAACTCATCCCTCGCCATAAAAGACGATGTCGCTATACATTAACTCCTATGAAAATGTTCAAAAAGTGCTCAAACTTCACATGTGTGCTAACAGTCCAGCCGTGAAGACATCTACTACAGGACAGTTTTGAGATTTCTTCAAATGCCGTTGCCATGGCAACACAATGCTCACCATGAAACACGGTTTTCTCATAACTTCAGTGAAAACGGTGAAAAGCTCCAAACGGCCCAAAACTTCACAGGTTTGGTAACGATGCAGCCATCAACGCATCTAAGCGTATTATGGGATGTCATCAAATGCCATTGGCATGGCGACAGATCATTCGCCATCAAGTTAGTTCAAAAGTTTGCAGTTCAAATATTCTGCTGCTTTTCCAAGCCTTTTCACTTTCTTTTCTTCTCTCATCACACATTCAAGCCCCCAGTGTTCATATCATTTCAATCTAAATTCTTCACTTTCTGCTTACACATTAAAGCATAGCAGTTTAGCGTCAGCTTTTCAGCATAAAGCATTCCCACTAGCAATTTCTTCAGGAATTGCATTCTCTAGGTTTAGCATAGCCTTCTGTCCAGACATGTAAATGTTCCCCCTGTACATCACATGCAGCAAGTTGGGTATCATTCTCTTGCTCGACAAGCTTGTGAAGAACATGTGGACAGGAGGAGCCAGGGATTAATTTTCAAACCTTTAAATTGCTCTCAAAATGAATCAGTAAACTAACAGCATATATTATTAAATAAATGCCATATGCCTAAAAGGGTCATGTTCTTCAAACGAAAAACAGCAAGGGACCATATTGATCAGTGGACTCGTAATTGTTGCTAGAGGGAAAACTGGATGGATGCCAGAGAATTTACAACACACAGTACAGTGGGTCTGCAACCTAGTGTCTGTAGTTTCGTACAATAATACTAATTAAGCATAACGCGTAAATGAGTTTACTGAATAGCTGCAACAACAGGAAAGCTGTTAAAGAATGTAGAGGGATTTTAAAAAAATGTCAAACTGCGCACGTAGCTTTTTTAATTCTTCACACAGCAGACATTTAATGATATGTAAAACAGAGACACAGACAAAGAGTGAGTGTGAATGATTCTGCACGTGGTTGTGGCTGGACTCACCTCTAATCCATTTCTGCCTGTGGGATACAGGGAATTGCTGATGGCTTTTCAGTGACATGCAGAAGTGAGAAATACATCCTCGCCACTTTTGTATTCGACCCAATTTAATCCCCACCTCTGTTTCACAGCCTGTTTTCCTTTTTTACCCGCCTACTTTTTACCTTTCCTTTATGTATTATACCCAGTTACAAAAAGACATTCACCACATCCTTGGCTCTATAGGGAAATTAATTTTCTTTCCACTATTTTGTTAGTCCTCATTGGCCGATAGCCAATGTCCAATATATGCATCTCTGGGTCTACTTACTAGCTTTTCTTAGAGCTTTTCAAAGTATTTTTGAGTAAATCTAGTTTCCTCCATTTGTGTTTGTTCTACATTGTAAAAAATAATATGCTATAAATATTCAAATTCATCTTTCAAAAATAGATAAAAGCATATATAGTTGTTGCTGAACAGTGCCCACTGGTGCCACAAAGAACAATTACAGGCCAAATGAAATGCTAAAAGAGAGATAAAGTCAACTTGAACTGACTGACCTGATTCTTTGGTATTTTTAAGCAAAAAAACAACAATTAGCATTTAATAGCAGTATGATTATATACATACACTTTTAACACATTTAAATGAAAACATGATATACTATTACATTAAAGAGTAATTCCAATGCACTAATTTAAGTTTGAGAACTATAGAACAATTTGAAACAACGCCTTTCTTTTGAAATTAAAATCAAGGCCACAAGTAACAATTGTTTTCAGAATCAATGTCAATACGAGTCCAAGTAAACTTCTTCCATGTGTTGTTTTTTCCAACCAACAGTCCAAAACACCCAAATACTCTATTTATAAAGTATAATAATACAAACAGAGATATCAGCAAATTGTCACATTTAAGAAGCTGGGACCAGCAATTATTTGGCATTTGGATGAAACACCTACCTGCATGTATTTGCTGGAAAGGTTGTATTGCGGTTTCTTCTGTAACACTTAAAACTTGATATTAACACACTTCTTATTTTGTATTAACAGCTCGCAGATGCAATTATCAAACGTATTGCCTTGCCTCGTGTGCATTTGTGTCCACTTCTTTTTTCAGCAGGGATAAACAGCTAGCCACCACAAGGAAGTATAAACAACCGAAGAACTACAAAGAGACGTGTTCACGTAACCAACCCACTACCCCTAGCGTCACTTTGCGTCCTTTTGCCGGGAATGTCGGACCACGTGTGTCCTGCCGGCGTGCTTGTTCCTCTGGTCCTCGATTCATCTCTCCTCATTCCTAAACGAGTCGGGTCCAGGGAGTGTACCAGCAAGATGGCGGCGCGGTGGGGTGCAGGCGAGGATACGTTAACTGCATGTCATATGGATATGTTCCACATGGATACACTTGACGAGGTAAATAATATGTTATCTACTCTATTTCCTATCCTGTAAACCCACTGTTACTAGTTGTGTGTGTGTTTTAGAGGCTGGACAGAGCGTGTTGTGTGTATGAGTTGTACACTGCGCATGGGAAAAGTGACACGTGGATGCCACAGTAGTATCACTTGTAAAAACTTAATTCAGAAAGCACTCATTGTTTTGTAAAGAGTACAGCTCGATAGCTCGTTGGTGGTATAGGTTTGAAACAATACATACAGCTTCATTAAGAATGGGCTGGTGCTTTTTTAGCTGTATGTTAATGCTAGGAGGTGAGCCAGTAGCTTGTTGGTGAACGACGCAGGTTTTCTCCCTTTATAAAACAAGGAGTCGTTAATAAAAGAAGTGACAGTTGTGTATTTGTATTGGTAGTTGGCCTAGCATGCCCAATAAGTGTGTAATCAATATCAGTCATACGAATTTAAGCTGCATCCGTGTGCAAACGTGCTCTTACTGCTCATCCACTGACCCAGACACACGTGGTAACAATCACTACAAATGCTATTCAGCTGGCTTTATCATCACTGCAGTGAGGATGTTTAGCGTTATCCATGTCTTTGCTTAACAAAGGTTAACGTGCTAAATTATGCTCTGGTTGTAATAGGCTGCATGCCAGCACATTGCAGTAATGTGTCATCAACTCATTTATAGGACACACGATGATGAAGCTCATTTATATAGGGTACAATGGCTTAAATAAGAATGGTTAATTAAGACATGTTTGATTATGTAGCCTGACACTGCGGCAGTACACCACGTTTTCATTCAAAACCTGTGTATCCGGTATCTACATGTGGTTTAGTCGTGGTGGATCACATGTTGGCTTCATTTCACACATGCGCAGCTGGCACACATCAATATACTCTGTGTACACACACTCGCCATCCAAATACTTTATCAATAACTACCTGGCGTTTCTAACGTGTTATCAAATGTAGTCTCGTTTGGTACTTTTTGAAATATCATACAGGAGCTTATACGAGGGCACTGTTCATGTTTGTTTGTAATGCAACACGTGGGCTAGGTTGCTTCCTGTCGACTGGACGGGGCGAGGCGAGGATCAAAAATGTCTGCGCTCTGTGTGCATGCGTAGACAGCAACACGTGGGTTACTGTATGACTGCTTTCTTAGATCAAAGTTCACAATGTTATCATTTAGGTGTATTGCATAGTTCAACGATGTGCTAGACTTACTGTAGGTGTGCATATGATTTTAAAATCAGAAGAATTGTTATAAAACAATTGGGCACTTAACACAACATGCATTCCATGTATTTGTTTTCTTTGGACAAAGCTGTCAAAACAACTTATATTCTGTTCACACGTTATCTGTGAAGTTATATAACTTGTATTCATAATAAGTGTGTATGGGATTCCTGCATGGCCAATCAGTATCAATGTTCTTTTGTTTTTTTATTAGATTGTAGCCTACATGTCTTTGGTATTTTCTTTCCCTCTTCTTCTAGTTGAAAATAAAAACTCTTTTGCCATGTGGGGTTTCCTTTCTGTCATTTTCAAATGCCTCACTTGAGCTTCGGCTTACTCTCAGCTTCAACAACCAAATAAACAAGATTATTTTTTACAGATTTCACTGTCCAAATGTTACATTTTTAACAATATTTGCCAAACACATTTACACGTACAACACTGGGTTTTGTTAAAAATGTATTTGTTAACTTGTGTCTCCTCCCAGTCCAGTTGAAATTGAAATACAGCCAAGTGGTTCATATATTATACTTCAAAGATGTTTAACCCCTTAAATATATAATTAAGTGAGCTGTTAATACTGACTGTTTGCATTATTTGGTTTTTGTCTTTGAATTTGAAATACTTTGGGTTGAAACATTTGTTTTCAGATACAACAGCTTGTCTCTACTCTGTGTGTTGGTAACCCTAATATTGAAACTGTCCATGGCCAATCACAATTGTTTATCCTGAATCATGTTGCCAGTTTGGTCTGTCACACAACTGAAATGTTTTTTTTCCCTCTTTAGACTGATGGGCTGAGCCCCGCAGAGACTCTTGAGGCCCTTCAAAGCTGTTTAGACCCTTCGATTCTTTCCATCTTTGAGGACAGTCCAACAATAGAGGCAAGACCACTTTCACATGGTTGAACTTAAGTGTTACAAGAAGGTTCTCTAATGTGTCAGCAGTTGTTTGTTGATACTCCGCATTGACCTTTTTTTCCACGTGTGTATTTAGACTAAAGGAATAGACGAGGAAAGTGAAGCCACGCTGCTGACAGCCCTGACAGAGATTCTTGACAATGTGGACGATGAGAACCTGTCCCCATTTGACACGCTGCCTGATTCAGACCTGCTGTCGGGTCAAAAGGGCCGGGAACACTCTCCGGTGAGTGTCCGACAGCTGTCAGACATAACTCTTAAAGTGTCTCAAATACATTTGCTCTCATCATCCCCCATAATGGGTCTGGAAAGAGAACCTGCTGACCTCTATTTAAATAAACATGTGTATTATAGGTCTGTAAAGACTGTAGAAAAGTGTTTGTCATTAAGCTTTTGTTTATCTTTTATTCTCCAGCTCAGGAGATTGCTGTGTCTCTCACGTTCCCCTCCAGAGAAAGACACACGCTTTAGCTCAGGATCCTTCTCAACTGGAAAGGTAGCTTTACTTACTCATAAGTAACAAATATTACCTTGTGCAACAGACACATTTTTGAATGATATTTTATATATTTTCCCATCTGTACTCAGAGCCTACCTAGGCTACTGGCCGCATTCCAGAGAAGTGATGGGGAGGAAGACGAAGATGGCTCCCTCAGTCTGAGCCCAATGAGTCACAGTTTATCTCCTGACAGTGACCAGCTACAGTGGGAAGAACTGACCCTCCCACTTCCTGACACTTTTGAGCAGGAGGTAGAAGATGGTATTTCAGTTAGCCTAGGAGAGTTGGTCAGACATATGCACCCGTACTGTATGGCCTATAGTATGGAGGGTGACGAGGGGGAACAGATGTTGCCCGAAGGAGGCATCTTACTTGAAGTTGTAGACCAGGGTGAAAATGGAGAACCCATCTTTGCAATCCAAGATATGGATCTGCCGGGATCTTTTCCATTTAGAGAAGAAGAGCAGTTCTTAGAGCATGAAGCAGAAGAAGTTGCCTCTGACACTTCCGAGCATATAGTCGTTGACGATGAAGATGAAGTACAAGTTGTATCCCCTGTGACATCACACCTATGTTTAGATGTGAAAGATGCAATGGTCATCGAGAGACAGAAGGATGAGATAAGAGAGAAAAGTCCGTCTCGGAGAAAAAAGAAGAAAAAATGCAAGGAACAGCACCAACCCAAACCTGTGGAGGAAAGGGTCTTGAGGAGTGGCAAAGTAAGAAAGACGCCACAGGAATCTCTGAAAAAACTTGAAAGGTCAGTCAAAGAAAAGAAGAAAAACAAAGCCCAAAAGCTTCCTCTTGTCTCACCTCCAGCTCCCTCAACTGTAAAACCTAATAAATTAAATTCATGCCAAACTGAAATCACCACCAAAACACCTCAAATGAATGTGCACGTTGCCACACCCCCTAGCTGTTCCCCCTCAACATTGAGCTCCCAGCAGCCTGAAGAAATGCCTAAACAGCTGGCCCCTGAGAAGCTGGAAGTCTCATCAACAGTTCCCTCTGCTGTCCTGCCCCCTATGTCTTCAGAGAGCCCTGCAGCTGCTCCTACTCCAGCAACACCCCAGATGATGCCACCTATTAGTGAGGCCCTTCCTCCAGCATGCCCTGTAGTCCCAGAGCCTAAGCCTAAATCACTCAGTCTAGCAGAGTACCGGCGGCTCCGTCTGCAGAAGAAGCCAGCTCCGGTGGAAAAGGCAGACGACAACAGCACCAAGTGGCCCAGCCTTCCAGAGCTTCCTACAGAGCTTCCCCTCATCCCCTGCCTCCCCAACCCCAGCCCCAAAGACCTTCGACGCCCCAACCCCCAGCCAGAAGTGGTGGAGGTCCGGCCTGCCTGGCAGCCAAGGGGCCCATGTGCACCACCCACACCCGAGGCGCTGTTGGCGCCACCGGCCTACATGGTTGCCTCATCCAGCAAGGTTACACCTGTTCATAAACCCCAGCTAAGACCTGAACCTTCCAAAGCTTCTCTTCCCCAAAAGCAGTCGGTCCCCGTGCCTGAGTCAGCACAGAATTTACCCTCACATCATCATACCATAGCTCAACCTGCATCACCTTGTGTGCCTCAAAGCTCTGCGCCTCCAGCAGAAGGGAAATGCGCTCTCTCACTTTCAGGAAGAAATGGAGGAGTAGATGAAAGGCCCCGATCTCAGCCTGCATCTCCAAAGTCTGTAGAGCTCACCAAAACCTGTTCTAAAACCACTACAGAGGCGATCAAACCCATTGCTGCTACCACTGTGCCTGCGCCCAGTGCCCCCCAGAAGAACATTGTTGTTTTACAGAAGGTACCGGAGGTTACTGCTCCTAAGTCATTAAGGAACTCCATTACAACTGATGGCAAATCATCAAAACCCACAGTCAATGGTACCCAGATGAGTTCTCCTGCAGCTACCCAGCTGAAACCTGTTCTACTTGAAACTAAAGAGAAGCCCACTACAGCGGTGAAACCCCCGAAGGCAAAGAGCGCCACACAGGAGCTAATTGAGGCTTTCACCACAGAGATAGGTAAGCTTGAAGTTTAATACTTTTTTTTTTTACCAAGTATTGACAGTATTTTAAAGTAACACGTAGCCGTCACTACTTCAATTGAGCCTGTATCTAATTGATTGGCTGTTTATTAGGTATAATTTATATTTGAGTTTTTATGTTGTAATTGATACATAAGACCCTTTTTTTATTTTTTTATTTATAATTTTATTTTGTAGGTATTGAAGCTGCTGATCTGACCAGCTTGCTGGAGCAGTTTGAGGAAACCCAAGGTAACCAATAATGGCAGATTTTTATAGTATAATTTAGTTTATCACAATATTACACACTGCAGTTTTTTCCTCTCATACCACATTTCTGGCACAAGGGTTATTGTTTTGACCATAGCTTAGTGTGTCACATATTTGTGTACTAAGTTAAATGTTGTCAAGAGTATTTCTGGTTGGCGGCAGTGGGATTAAAGCTAGAAGGGCTAGATGACTAGAAGATGGTCATGAAGTGAAGGTTAATGTCCATTCCCTCGTATTTCTGACCAGCAAAGCTTGAATCTTATCTGATCTTCATAGAAAAGTGTGTTATAATGTTTTGTGTGGGGGCGGGGGACTTCGTATGGTTCAAAATGCATGATTTTGTTTCCTACTGAAACACTCCCCTTTAAGAGATGAGTGCTGCGGGGGGCAGAGGAGCTGCTTTGTGCTCTTGTCTGCTCAGCTGATGGAATTCTGCCCTGTCTGCAAATCCATTTAACTCTCGCCCTGCTGTCTTTGTTTGGCCGGATCTACAAGCCCCAAACCTAACATGTAGCTGGACTCTGTATGTGCCATTACTCATGTTAGTGGGCTTGTTGTTGAACCCTCATAGGGTGTATTATGTTAAGTGTGACCACATGGTGAATTCCCAAGGAAAATATTCAGTTTTAGTATTACAAGGGCTGAATAAAAGATGTACATGTACACCTGACATGCTGCAAGTTGTATAGTTCATCCTATAATAGTCAAGCTGAGTTTTTATCTATCATATTCCTTGTGTATTTGTTGTTATTTTGGGCTCATGCACTTATTTCCTTGTTCCTTCTCTCTCCAGCCAAGGAGGAGAAATGTGTGCTGGAGGTCTCTGGTAGAGCAGCAGCTGTAGGAAACTCGAGGTGAGTTACCCTACAGCTTTGAAGCTGCTCTGTGTGAGTGGAGTCTGGGTTTCTCTGAGACCTGTTGGTGTGTGTGGAAATTATGCACACACCTTTTGCCAAGACCTACCGCAAACCCTGCTTTTGTCTGGCCACAGTGATGGCCTTTTCAGGATTACATTTGTTCGACCTGGCTTCACGGGGTTTTTTTGTCTAGACTTGTCTACACTGTAATCAAGAAGTGGAAGCTACAATATTTACCAGTGATATACTAACGGCAACTGTTCTCGGTTTACAGTTTTGAGTCGGCTCCAGAGAGAACGGTTGTGGAGCATGTGAGAGATAATGACCTTTCGAGTCCTGCAGGTAACAAGAGTTTACTGTTTACATCTTGATGTGGCTATAACATTAGAAGATTGCACTGTCTTTGAACCTTGTTGGTCTCATCCATGACCTCTTAGGCCAAGCTACAGTGCTAAAGCAAATTCAGGCTTGTTCATAACTGGAGCCCCCTGGCAACACCCCCAGGTTGCTCTTTTAAATGCAAGTCACAGCTAATTCACCATTTTCACTTAAGCTTTAAGACAATTCCACTCAATTAAAATAACTGATATCAGAAAATACTGTTGTCTTCTTGTATGGCTTAATCAAACAGCACAATCATTAGGTATGGTGTTTTGAAATCATGCGTCATAGTCATAGATTTGCCACCTTGCCAAACAGATTACCAACTACCGTTTGAGTGTTTGGTTTAACTGTGGTGCACTTTATTTTCCGGTGTTTCAGCTTTGACTCCTCCAGCTACTCCCCCACACCAGATGTGGAAACCCCTGGCCGCTGTGGCCCTTCTCGGAAAGAGCAAGGTAGCTGAGGCCCAAAAGTTGAGCCCCGCCAAAGTTATCCAGATAGAAGCCCGGCCCTTGCCCTCAGCCAGGTCCCGCAGCAAACCCTATCCTGCTGCTGCTACTGTCTCCGCCGAGTTGGCATGCATGGACCACGACTATTGCCTCCCCAACAAAGGCCCTTCTGGAGAGCAAGGCAAGCGCTGGAATGTCAAACAGCCATCTTTTATCACTATTAAACCCATCAAGCAACCCACTACACAAACCCCTCTTGCTGCCCTGGCATTGTCTGCCACAAACTCTGTGATTAAAGCCCAAACACGAAAGCTTCCTCTGACAGAGCCCCTGGATCACAGGACTGGTATGACAGAGAGAAGCTCTGTCCTGGAGACTCCAGATGCTTCCCCTGCTCGGCAGGAGACTGATGTCACTGAGAAAGAAGGAGGCCCTAAGAGTGGGCATTCTGGGAGAACATACCGTCGACAAGCTGTTTCTCGCACACCCAGCCCCAGATCCAGTTCCAAAGAGAGGACTGGAGGCCGCTCTAGAAAAAGAAGATCCCATCATTCTCCCAGCCCCATGTCCAGCAGTTCAGAGTCTGACTCCCATTCCTCTAGATCTCGGTCTAGATCCCACTCTCCATCTAAGAAGAGGTTAGTTCCAAAGACATGAGACCCCGGGTTCATACAGCATCTTGATAACCATTTTAGGGTCATTATTTCCCTTGTTCATCCCTGGTATTCCTTCCTGTTTCCGTTCTAGGTATCGTCCTCATCAATCTGAAAGTAGTTCAAGCTCCTCGTCCCGTTCTTCCTCTCGGTCTTCTCCCTCGGTGTCCCGCTCCCCCCCCAGAAGGAGGAGGCGGTTCTCATATTCCTCCTCTCGTTCAGGCTCTTGGAGTCGCTCGAGATCACGCTCTGGGTCCCCTCACAGGCGAGCTCAGTGGAGCAGAACCAGAAGATTGTACAGGTGCGGTATATGAATCATGCCTATATGGTTGGTAGGGGCATCATGGATTGTATAGCTGTTTCAATAGTACATATTAAATATCAGGCAGTTTATTAAAAACGTTATCAATCAATGTTTATTTATATAGCCCAATATCACAAATGTTACATTTGTCTCAGTGGACTTCACAGTTTGTACAGAATATCAGTATGACAATACGACACCCTCTGTCCTTAGACCCTCACATCGTACAAGGAAAAACTTCCAGAGATGAACCCCACAGTTTAAAGGGGAAAATGGGAGAAACCTCAGGGAGAGCAACAGAGGAGGGATCCCTCTCCCAGGACGGGACAGACGTGCAATAGATGCTGTGTGTAAATCGAAGAGATAATACATTTTACAGCATAGGTAGTCCAAATGTTTGGAAATGCATGTGTCTGTAATAAGTTGAATCCACGAGGATGTCAACAATCCTGTGGGAGCCATCAGGGAAGTAGTATGATGAGTCAGGCAGGACCACAGAGACAGGTTCAGCCACGACTCGAAGTCCAGAACTCAGGATAGACTACTCAGGGTACAGACGGATAGAAGGAAGAAGTAAGTGTCCCCCGACAGCCTATAACAGCTAAACTAACATGTACATCAGAGTCCTGCACGGGTCTGATTTTCAAGACCCGCACCCGCGATGTGCAATACCGAACCCGCCCCGCTACCCGCCCATATTGCCAATTAGTTCCGCCACCCGACCCGTCGGCACAAGATCCGCAACCCGACCCGAACCCGCATATATATATATATATATATATATATATGAGCAGTGAAAACGTGCAATTATTAACACACGCAGTTGCATATTTGTCTCAAGAAGCGTGGGATGTTGGTTATTTCCTCCATCTAAGTCAGGGGTGGGCAACTTTGATGGTGGTGGGGGCCACATCATTGATGTACTGGCCACCAGGGGGCCGCAGATTCACTTGGAACACACGCACACAAAAATTCCATGTGTTAATTATTAACAAATATACTAATTCTCACATCTTCATTGACATTTTACAATCAAAGGGAACATCCCCAAAAAATGGGAACATCCTCTAATAAGCTCACTAAACAAATATCAGTTCACAGAAATTTTATTTCATTTTTACAAGTGGCATGTTTGTATTGAACAGGTTATTAAACAGTGGAAAAAAACTATTTTAAACTATTGGAAAGCACGGAAAATGTGTGTGTATTGAGATTAACCATTAGATGACATACACATGAAGTCATGAACACTAACCCAGACATTAGTTCTCTAACTTGAACCTAAAACACTTGTAGCCAGTCTCTGCATTCCCCTTATTCCACAATAAGGGGAATGTCAACACAGACACCTGTCAGCCCGCACTCTGCTGTTCCTCAGCACCACTCCCCCTCCCTCCCGCTGAAATTATGAATGAAAAGCGTAGTAATCATAGATAACACGGCAGGGTCCGTGACAGTTTGTTTTCATCTGATTTCAAATAAACAAAGTCTTGGTTTTAAAAATATTAAACTTGTTTCACCAAATTCAGATGATAAAAACAACTTTTAAGCTTGTAAAGGCATAATTACAAGAGGCAACTTAACGTCACAGCAGGCATAACAACAGCCGGTGTTTCTTGTGAGGGTTTCCCCGGGAAACAAACACAATACACACAAATGCGTCACAGATTATTTTGCGGTATTTGAAATCATCTACGCAGCTCGCGACGTAACTAGGAGTCTAGTGGACGGTATCAGTACTACAAGTAAACATTTTTTTTATTAATTACGTTGTTTATAAATTAATCTGAGGGCCGCAAAAAGAGGAGGTGGGAGCCGCATGCGGCCCGCGGGCCGCCATTTGCCCATCCCTGATCTAGGATGACACCAAAAGCCTCCCAGACATTGGATTTCGCTCTTGAGGAAGTGTTATTAAAAATGCTGTATTCTCCGCTAGAGAGCTTCACCTCAGCCATTTCAAATGTGGCGCGCTCAGCAGCAGATTGATGCGGTGTAGCGGTTATGATTATGTGTGTGGTCTTAGGATTTAAACATTAAACTAAATTATTATTATTTTAATATATTTATTATGCAACACCCGCGACCCAACCCGCATCATCTTTGTTTTACCCAGAACCGAACCCGGAAAAAAGCGTTTGAAAAAATACCACCCGCGAATCACTTTTTTTGCGGGGTACCCGACCCGATGCAGGACTCTGACGTACATGCACTCCCTTAGGATAGGTTGAGGGAAAGGGGTAGCAAGTAAGAAGTAAGGAACAGAGGTGGAGAGGCACAATGTCTCTACGTACATGCACTCCCTTAGGATAGGTTGAGGGAAAGGGGTAGCAAGTAAGAAGTAAGGAACAGAGGTGGAGAGGCACAATGTCTCTACGTACATGCACTCCCTTAGGATAGGGTGAGGGAAAAGGGTAGTAAGTAAGAAGTAGGGAACAGAGGTGAAGAGGCACAACGTGTCTACGTACATGCACTCCCTTAGGATAGGGTGAGGGGAAAACAGTAGGAATTAAGATGTATGCGCCACATCTATACCATGAGCGCATTGCTCCTAAAAAGCTTTTTGGCAGTGACACCAATCAACAGTTGTGCGTCGACTCGGCAGGGATCAAGGCACGTATATATCTTTCCCTGCTTCCACCGTCTACACACACAACCAAATTACATCTATACCAACGTGTCTACGTCAATGCACTCTTATTAGATTATTTTATCAACTATAAACTTTATCAAAAAGGAAGGTCTTAAGCGTACTCTTAAACGGATAGGGTGTCTGCCGCCCGAACACAAACTGGAAGCTGATTCCACAAAAGTGGAGCTTGATAAGAAAAGGCTCTGGCTCCCATTGTACTTTTAGAGACTCTAGGAACAACCAACAACCCTGCATTCTTGGAACGCAATGCCCTAGTAGGACAGTAGGGTATAATGAGTTCTTTAAGGTAAGATGGCGCCTGCCCATTAAGGGCTTTTGTAGGCGAGAAGAAGAATTTTAAATGCTATCCTGTGTGCTGTAGGGAGCCAGTGTAAGGCAGCCAGAACAGGAGTAATGTGGTCCCTTTTCCTAACTCTGGTTAGTACACGAGCTGCAGCATTTTGAATCAGCTGAAGCGACTTAACTGAATTTTTTGGTTTAAAGGTTTTATTTTGTCTTTCTTCAGCCCCTCGTGTATGACCAGCTATGCTCAAGCTGGAAAGAATAATGTTGAAGTGAAGAAATGCAAAGAGAAAGCCATCGTAAGTATTTGTTTCTCTTTAGTACACTGGTCTCAAAGCAAAGTTGTCAAAAATGTTGTTAGTCTGATGGACTATTTATTCCATCAGGAGGAGCGGCGGGTTGTTTACGTTGGTCGCATTCGGGGAACGATGACCCAAAAAGAACTTAGAGAACGCTTCTCTTTTTTTGGCGAGATTGAAGAATGCACCCTGCACTTTAGAGACCAAGGGTACGTACATAAACAGCTTCTGTAATGTACTGTTAATATCTTAATATGGCTATAACGTTACATTGCACTGTCTTTGAACCTTGTTGGTCTCATCCATGACCTCTTAGGCCAAGCTACAGTGCTAAAGCAAATTCAGGCTTGTTCATAACTGGAGCCCCCTGGCAACACCCCCAGGTTGCTCTTTTAAATGCAAGTCACAGCTCAAACTACGTACAATAGCAATTTTGACCTTTACTAGACCTCAGACAAACTTAACATGAATACAGGCTGATGGTTTGGTTATCTCTCACAGGGACAACTATGGGTTTGTGACTTATTACGACACCAAGAATGCATTCACGGCCATCGAGAATGGAAGCAAGCTACGCAAGTCCGATGAGCTTCCATTTGATCTCTGTTTTGGAGGAAGGAGACAGTTCTGCAAGTCAAACTATGCTGACCTGGGTAGGCATAAATCAACTGACACAAAGTTCCTGTAGCTCTTGCCAAGTTAATGTTAACCTATCAACATATTATTGATGTTGATTGTGATCATTACCATTTGAAGGGATCATCGCACTGCAGGTAGAAGCATACTGTCCTTAAAAGTGGATTACAATACACTAAAAGAATACATTAATATATTGTATAACACTTAGTATTTTGGTTTCACACCAGTCACCAAACTGCCTCCTTCATGGCTTGCCAGCAGGGCTGTAGCACCTATTGAAGAGACACAGGTCATGTCCCCTTTATTGATTTTACAATTGTGAAGGTTATGCTTGATGGGTTTTTAAATGTTGATTCTGATGTTGGTTTTCTGATGAAGTGTATTCCTTATATACTTTGGAAATGTTGGGGGGAAATTATGAGGCAATTTAAAATGGAATTGAAAGAATCATATTTTTCAGAGCTGGTCAAAGTTTAGGATGTGTTTTGCAGGTTGTATTTGGGCTTCAGCATTTATATAATCGACACTGGTCTCGAGTCTTTTTTAATCAAAGCTAACTTGTTTTTTCAGATTCGAGTAAGGATTACGATTCGTCGTCTGGGAAAGGAAAGTTTCAGACACTAGACTTCGACACTTTATTGAAGCAGGCCAAGCAGAATCAGAGGAGGTAACAGGAGGCCTTGCAGCAGGAAGCAGCTGACACTTACCTCAGAGCCAATGGATGGCTTCTCACCTGCAACACTGTCTTTACATTTAAGTTGTTGCCTTAGTTTTATTTTGTTTGTGTTTATTTTGTTTCTCAAAGCTTACACCTTCTATTGAAGTGAAGATTTGTAATGAAATAGTAAAATAAAAAAAAATGGAATGAGTCAAATTTAAATATTTTTTTTTAGTTTATTTAAATGTGCACATTTAAATTGTATTGAGAATCATTTTTAAAAGGGTAAAAGTACATGGGATGGAGCTCTCTAATTACTGGGACAGGTTGTGTTACATTGAATGTACTACGGACCTAAATAAATAATAACCTAAAATACTTTGCTTGATTTTCATTCCAACTGTCTGTATTCTTTAGTTACAATATTGAGAGGTATCGGCCCTTTTCACATACAAGTTGTCATGTTCCAAGAAAATATAGGTGTAACAAATAAAACCCTCAGGTTTCAGTATAAACACTGTTTTCTGCAAACGTATTGACTGTAGAAAAAGCACAGCTGATACAAATTCTGTAAAGTGTCCAAGAGAGCTGGCATGTAAAATACCTGAGTCCTGCAACTGGTTTACCTTAATCTATAAATGATGTGAACGCTGAAAGTTTCAAATGTTTTTACGGTATTTGAATGAGGCAAAATTGTCAGAGGTGCACCTCAGAATCAGAAAACCTTTATTAGTCCCACAGAGGGGAAATGTATGTTACAGCAGAAAAAGAGCCACATATAGCTTAATGTTACATGCATTAAAAAGTATGAAAGTGATATCATCTTTGAGATTAACTCTCCTAGTAGTGAGAATCACCATGGAAACATTTGATGTGGATAGAAGCAGTAGATTTATATTTGCTTAATAGTAATGTGACAGTGACACAAAGAAATACAATGACTTTTCAGATGTTCTCTGATTATTCATATTGCCTGATTGAAACTCAAGTCAAACCTTTGTTGGTATTCTCCATCTATTCACATCTTTCATACATTCGTTTTGTGCAACTTTAAACGTTATGGGTAAAATCCCCCCTTTTGAATAATATTAAACCCATTCCAATGTATCCAACTATTCCTGCTACTTACATTCTTCTTGCTCAGTTTGGCAGTATTGTCCGCTTTTGCATGCAGCATTTACACAGCAATTTCTTCAGATATTTCATTCTCTAGTTATTAATCGCATATTTGCCTTTCCTTGTATAATATGAATATGCCAAAAGGGTCATTTTGGCTTACTGTCATGGGTTTCTGCTACACAGAATTTAGCATATTTTAATAATGTAAGGATTCATGGTGTTTGCTGGGAATAGGGGTATTTGATCGAGCCTGCACTGGTTGCAAGATAATACGCATCACGCTTACTCTGGGGACTTTGTTTGCTTTTTCAAAAGTTACTGGTAATTATGTCAAAATGTATGTGGATATATCCTGGCGATTTAGAACAAAGCAAACTGTATTTTGCTAACGGGATACACAGGCAGGCTCGGGTCATAACAGACGTGCAGCTCCTCCCCTTTGAATGGTTGGAGCTCAGCGACACTATTATGGACTGGAATCTAAAGATTTTAGAAAGCTGTTGAGATGTTCAATACATTCACTAAGAAGAGCAATTCAGAGAGCAATATCTTTAAGCTGCATGTTGAGGAGAACTGCGACAGTAAAACTCCAGGCTCATTTTAAACTCATTGAAGTTAACACTGCTCAAAAAAAAAGAAAAAAAAAAGTTAGTCCGAGTACTTTCCTCTGGTCGTTTTGTGACCATGTATCGTAATAAAGTCATGTTTTACAAATGCTAATGGTGTAATTTTAACAAAGAAATAAAGGGCCCATTAGTGGCAGTTGTATGGTAACACGAAGACACATGTTTACATTGATAACGTTATCCAAGTGTAGAGGCTTTAGCATTGCGGAGTAACAGTGTCATCTATCTCTTCGACATGCTAACATCTTTGTTGTGTTTTGTCACTCAGATCCAGTTTTGACTGGTTTAATCCTGTTCTGTGAGCATGCGCACTCGGTGTAAACAGGAAGAACCGAGTGGAAACCAGGGCACATCTACCATCAAGAGAAGAAAAATGATCGGACAAATACGAACGGAAGCCTTGTTTTTCATTATATATAAACCAACATATGCCACTTCATGATAATCTCGATTGCAATTTGTAGAAGCAATTGCTAACTTTTCGATAATTTTGAAAGACTTGTTATTCCGTACCTTAGCTAACGTTAACGCCAGACAGACAGCAGCACGATTTATTTCCTGCAGGTAATGCTCGTGAAGTCTGTCTGCAAAACTACAGACAGAAAAATAACTCAGTGCTCTTAGGCAAACCGAGGCAAATATCTATAACAATGGTTCAAAAAGATAAGACGCTGGAGACTCCTCAAGTTGACGGTGAGCCGAGCCCCAGCCCAGTCTCCGGAGAGGCTCGTGCAGAGGCCGCCTGCCCGGTGGAAGAGTCCGGCATCAGAGTCGAACCGACGGGAAACAGGAAATTCATCTGCGGAGTCGTGGAAGGTAATATTGAATGTTGTCTGAAACAATCAAATTCGACACTTGATCCAGTGGGGATGTGAACATGAACTAGGCGTTTCGTTGCGCAACCCTGTGTTGCAGAATGACAACAAACGAATATGGATCTGCATACTATCATAGGGCATCAGCATGCTGCAGCAGCCCTGCTTCGTGGAGGAGAGGATGGTTGTCATCAATTGGAAATACAATCCATTAGTGTACAATCGGATAACACTTGGACATCGAGTGTGAATTGTCTTAAATACAAATGAAGGAGCGGTTAAAACCCTTCTTTATGTAACAAGGCATTATTTTTGCAGATTATAAATCAGTTGTGATCTATAATGAATGTTATATTATTCATTTTTGGCAGGTTGCACCATGAGGTGAATAATAATTGATTGTGTTTGCATCATGTTATATATTATATATTTGTGTGGTTTGGCTTCCTGTCAAACTCAATCAGTACATGCTTGGTAAGACCTAGTTTTGGCCCTTATAAGTCAACCTAAGATGTCGATTTTTCATATTTTTTGACAATACATGGACAAAATGGACTATTTGTGAGTCTGACCAACGGTAACTGACTGAATAAGAACAACATTCATGTCTTATTGCACTTCAATTCCAGCCTACACATAAGGGCAAATAGTTTGAGGGGTATTGCATCTGAATGTGCTCTGAAATATAGTTTAATATAGCTCTGCAGACTGCATGAAACTGAATGTATTCTTTGCTAATGCAGGCTTTTACGGTCGACCATGGACTATGGAACAGAGGAAAGAGTTGTTCAGAAGGTATGAGGAACTTTGATAATTCATTCATCTAATACCCATAATATTACAGCTTTATTATTTGAGTTGTTCTAATAAATATGTGCAACATTGCATTTCACAGGCAGCAGAAATGGGGACTGAATACATACCTTTATGCCCCCAAAGATGACTACAAACACAGAATGTTCTGGAGAGAGATGTATTCAGTGGAAGAAGCAGGTGACTATTCAATACAGATCTTGTTATCATCTTGCTTAGGGCAAGGAAAATGAGTAATGCCTATTTATTGAGGTTTAAGGACCATCATATTCATAATGTGTATAATGGCACAATACGGCATTGAGTGATGTTTTTATTTTTTTATTTATCACCTAGAACAACTCATGACTTTAATTGGTGCTGCTAAGGAGTATGGGATAGAGTTCATCTATGCCATTTCCCCTGGACTGGACATCACCTTCTCCAATCAGAAGGAAGTTACTGCACTAAAGAGGAAACTCGATCAGGTATTGCAACTTTTTGTATGGCAGTAGTATAACCAATGTGTCCAACTCTTAAGATCTTGTGTCAAGACTGAGTCCTGACTGCTGCATGTCATCTCCTCTATCCCCACATTCCTAATCTACCTCTATCCAATAAAGACAAAAATGCTGAAAATATAAGCCCAAAGAAACAGGTCTTTATTTGTTCATATCATCAAATGTCCCATGGTTTTTACACTCTGCATCATCATGTAAATAATTAAGTGTTTACCATACCTGTCTCTATCCCCAGGTTACTCACTTCGGCTGCAAGTCATTTGCCTTACTTTTTGACGATATTGAACACAACATGTGCCCTGCTGACAAAGAGGTGTTCAGCTCATTTGCACACGCTCAGGTTTCCATTACAAACGAAATCTACCAGTACCTGGGAGAGCCCGAATCATTTCTGTTCTGCCCCACAGGTACATCAGTTTTATTCCCCAATCCATTTAAGATGTTATACAATTGTTTGTTGTCTACTGATTTACTCATTCTTTATTTCTTGCCTTAATACGCAGAGTACTGTGGAACATTCTGCTACCCAAATGTCCATCAGTCTCCCTACCTCCACACAGTAGGAGAGAAGCTACTGCCTGGCATTGAAGTGCTATGGACAGGTGAGTCTAACACAGTTTCCTGCTAACAAAACAACACCATTACCACACAATCATGCATTTCAGAGTAGTATAAACTACACTGTATTGTTTCCTTTTCTGCAGGCCCCAAGGTGGTGTCCAAAGATATCACAGTGGAATCAATCGAGGAGGTGTCAAAGATCCTAGGAAGAGCCCCTGTGATCTGGGACAACATTCACGCCAATGATTATGACCAGAAGAGGCTGTTCTTGGGGCCTTACAAGGGCCGCTCCACAGAGCTCATCCCCAGACTAAAGGGAGTCCTCACGAACCCTAACTGCGAGTTTGAGTCCAACTTTGTTGCGATCCACACTCTGGCCACCTGGTACAAGTCTAATATGAATGGGGTGCGCAAGGATGTGGTGATGAGTAAGTATGATCCAAAGCGACTTTGCTTTGATGGGGAAACACAATGATATCTCTGCATCGGTTTATAATGCTGTCCATTCTGTGTTTGTTTCTCCATCTTACGCTTGTCCAGCTGATGGCGAGGACAGCACCGTGTCCATCCAGATCAAGTTAGAGAATGAAGGCAGTGATGAAGAACTGGAGACAGACATGCTCTACAGCCCACAGCTTGCTCTAAAACTGGCTCTCACAGAATGGCTAGGGGACTTTGTTGAGCCTCATCAATACAACAGTGAGAGCAGTGCCATTATTACATCTTATCTCTATGCTAATGACATTTCTAGCAGTTATACTTGGAATACACTCATTGCGTTGGCATTGATGGCCTAAAATGATAATATTGTGACTGAAGAACACGATGCAGTGAGGCTTAACTTTGTCTTTCAGGCCGACAGGTGCCTCAGAGTGGTCCCAAAAGCACCGCCATCGACGTGACATCCATGACTGCTCCCTTGCTCTGCTCTTCCACAACAGTCAC